CTGTATACGAATGGTACAAAAATGTTGAGAAAACTCAGTGGTGAATTGAAGATATTAGTAAGAGGAAGCGAATTTCCAAATGATTCTTTCTGAGTTGGTGATTTAGAACCTCATGATTAAACAGATTTTAGAAAAAGAGAAAAGAACTGACTTTTTTCTGATTTTTCATCAATTTTGAATATAAAAAACATTTTTTAAGTGAAAAATATCAGATTTCAACTCTTTTCCACTAGGATTTTATTGAAAAAACTTGAAAACGATTAAATTTAAGTATTTTGTCAACAACAAAACCTATTCTAGACCTACAGATTGATTAGGATCCTGCATTACACTCTGAAATTCGATTCTGACTCTGTAGGATTCTAATGTCGATAAATATGCATTGTAGTTACTCTATTAAACGTTGTTTCTAATGTTGTTTTATATGATTTTGGACGAAAACAAGATATTTAGTTTGTTAGAACATTATTTTGAAATAATTTAATCGTAATGATGATACTGGCAATAATGACATCAAGTAAAATTGTTCTCGAAATAAAGATTCAAACTTGATTGAATGACGAAGATTGCTGAATTTATTCAAATCAACGCCCGTCACTTATCATATGCTCTTCTTGTTGTTTATCCTTCTCTTGTTGAAAAATATTACTAAACCGAAGGTAGATAGGTTTCGATAAGTAGAGCAAAAGTTATCATAGATTCAAAGTTTCCATATCGACCCATGACCGATGCTTTCAGCACCTCTAGAAATTATCATTAAGAAAATTTTTCATATAAAGAATAATCATTCCACGAATTTTTATGCTAGCGACTTCGAGAGTTGGGTTTAATAAAAAGGACTACCTAATAATGACGAGTCATGACATTTGACAGAGGACAATTCGAAGCTAAATTTAAAAAGAAAACATTTTGACTTTAATATCCAGAAATAGGGAAGACGAGGGTTTCTCAATTTAGGAAAGATCTCGATGAGATATTAACGAAAGCAATCTTAAACACACAATAATTCACATTTAAAGAGAATAATTAAGAATTTCTTCTACAAGACATAGTAAAAAAGCAGACTTTTCATCAAAAAAATTCAAAATGAATTTTCAGACACAATCATCTCGTTTTCAAAAATCTAAATTTTGACACTATTGTATTTAAAAATAGTCTAGTTCTATTTACCTTTCTAATAATTATCAGTTGATGAGAGTTCATCATCAATGTCCCTGTTACATACCAGAGAGCTTGACTAATCATTGAAATCACTCTTAAACAACAACCTAAACTGATTTCTTTTTCGACGATTATCTCCATTTTAAGGCTTAAATTGTTTTTTGCAAACCTTTATTGGTGTAACTCTCTAAAAGTTCTTGTTTTTACATCTATTCATGAGGAGATGGCGATCATCGAACTATTGAATCAGACGGCAGCGAAACTTTAAAATTCATTTTGCATATTTCTACTTGTTAGTATTCAGGCATTTAAATAAAGTGAATGGAATTTTTGTTTGAAAAAGTAAATGATAATAAAAAAAAAACAGAATAGAACAATTTTATATTTGCACAAAAAAAAGCGACAGTGGAAGGATTCGAACCTTCGCTCCCAGAGGGAATCTGCTTACTGCAATGATTGATTTAGCAGGCAGACCTCGTAACCACTTGAGTACACTGTCTATTAGATTGAAAATGAATTAAAATAAAACAAATTATTAGACTGATAGAAAAAACACGATAAAAATATTTCTTGATTATAGAATAATCCTTCCACGATAATCTTTTGTATAATATATTATTAATTTCATTTCAATCAATTATTATACAAAAGAAACACTTCTTCGTATATCAAGAATAGAGAATTTATGCAATGAATTTTTTGCATTATTTTTATAAAACGATTATATTAATTAAACACTCTGTATTGTCGAACATTGAGTTATAAAAGGATGAAGTCAAAATACTATAGATAAACATTATAAATGAATATATATATATCAATAGTCAAAGAAAAATTCTACGCATTTATTCTGAAAAACACAAAAGACTCTGATTAGAAAACACTTCTAATACTTTTAGAGACGCAAAAAAATAGTCAAATATTTTGTCTAGAGACTTTCGGATTACACCATACATATTCTTTATGGACATGCACAGAAAGCTCTCTTCATATCCTGTACCGTAATTGATAGAAATTCTCTAATCATTATCTTATCCTGCAAAAAGATTTCCTTGAAATTATGTATTCAATGTATACATAATACCAATCGCCTTTATTGATGGTAGTATAGAATTCTATGATATTGCTAAATATCTTGTCGCATATTGTACATTGATAATACTCTTCAGATATGATGTCTTCTACTACGAAAGTAAATCGAATAGTTATTTCTATAATTTAAACTAGTCAAATATAAAATTTATGTACTAAAAATAAACAAAGGGATTATGTAGAACATTTTATAAAACAAAAACTATTAGTGTGATTCCTGTGAGATCGAGATGTGAAACATGACTTACGAGGACACCTTTTCGGCTGCCTATTTCCATTTCCATCACTTCTCATTTGTATACACTACATGATGTTCTAATAAACACCTCAAATGAATGCGGTTTCTTATTGAGATTTACATAAGCTATTGAGTTTTTTTGTAGGTCTATTTTCTAGAGGCCTCAGATTTACAAAAAACTCGTATTCTTCGAGTTTTGATCTGAAGCTTTACGCATGTGAAGAAGTCAAATAGACTAGCCTTCAAGAAATGCATGCAATAAGCGCTGTTCATGGCAAAGAGTCTATATCTCGAAAAACCTTATTTGAAACTTGTGAGTTTTTTATATAAAGCTAGTCTAGTTGAGTTCTCTATATGTATAAAGTTTCAGATCAAATTCCGAAAATACGAGTTGTCTGTAAATCTGATACTTCTAGAACATAGACATACTAAAAATGCAATAGCTTGGATAAATCTTAATAAGGAACAAAATTCGTTTGAGGTTTTTATTAGAACATTATGTAGTATTCATAGGCAACAATCTTTGAAATCTGAAGGAGAGATTTAAAGAGATTCCCTTATTAGTCCACAAGCTCACTAATAAGCTTTTGTGAATATTCTAATCTATATTTTATATGATAAACTGATTCGTTATCATGTATTTTCGAATTCAATTGAAGAAATATGAGTTATAATATGTTTTCAAGTGCTTTCTGGTTTATTTAATAAAACAAACAATAATTACTAAAACAAAAATGAACCATATGCTAATAACACCGACATGTTTGACCTCTAGGACACCATGTGCTTACATCATAGTTACCATTTGAAACACAATGCCCGCCTTTTCTGCCAGAATGTTTACGACAAAAGTCATTACAATTGCTTACACCGTTTACTGTACGCCAAACTCCACGACTTATCCGATCGTCACAACCCCAACCTGTCTTTCCTTTCAACCATTTGCAAGCTTGTCCAAGACCATATTGAGCTTCTACCCTATGTGGCATATTACTAAGAAGAACAAGGAATACGAATGCAAAGCCAAGGTAAAATATTTTTGTAGACATTCTAAAATCACAAAGAATGTGAAATGAATAAGTGTTAAAAGCAAATGAATAGTCGATATTTATAAGATATCTACTAAACACATATGAGAACTTTTTTAAACACTGTACTCATTTTTCATTTGACTCATGGCCATGAGTCAAATCATGAGATAAGATAAGTACTGTTATGCCTATGAAAATATAAATGTTATGCCAGATGAATGTGAATTTCCTCACTTAGAGATCATATTTCAAGGCCATTTCTGTAATTGCTTGTTTTCTTATTCACATTTACTATGTTTTACCCTTCTCTTTTTTCTCCAAAACATATTATTTTCATATCCATATATATGTCTGTAAATGGATTGCAATATTATTATACCGTTTTCAGAAAAGAAGGTTTCGATCTGAAAAATGTATGTACTCAAGTAAGTAAAAAGTAAGTGAGGACATTTCATAAGACTAGCCAAAATATCCACACTATCCATCAAATATAGTGTAAAGCGTCTTGCATATCTTTTAAGACCGGTTGCCTTCTTGAAGAATATTCTTGAACTGAGTTTGAACTAGTTCATAGCGTGCTTACATCCGATAGATCTTTTTGTGGCAAACTACGATTTAACGACAGACTGATATCATTTTAAATAATCTAACTAGTAGAATATGGCTAATTCATTCGATATGTAATGGAAACTAAATTAAGAAAAACAAATTAACAAGTTTAGTTCTACTCCTCCTAAATCCGCCACTGCACTATAGCATTGAAAACGTCAAGTTCGTGACAAAAGTTCATAGTGAAAAATATAAATGTATGCAATGAAAAAAAAACCATAGTAACTTATGTTCAATAGTGATATATTTTATAATAACGAACGTCTATTACTAAGATAGAAATCATTAAAAAATGATGTAGAAATTTAACATTTAGTTAATATTACTCAATCACATAAATATTAAAAACCGAATTGTATAAATATTTGCAAAATGATGCAATTAATCACTATAAATCGGTCAATAGTTATTTTAAGTTTCGCATAATACCAAAAGTTGGTTACACAAACAAACTTTAATTGATATATGACTAGTACAAACAATACGATAGAGTATTGGGAAAGCTGCAATGTTTACAATAAGAATCTCTTGCTTTGTTTTATCAATAAAATAAAACAAAATATAAAATTCTTATTCTCTAATGTGTAGGAAATTGAAAATTTCTAAACTATTCGACTTTGATAATTTTAATAATGTTTTCTTTTTGTTTTGCATGAGAAGCTATATTTAAAAACACAATTTTTATGCCATCTGAAAGCTTTTCTTCTTCAATTCTTTAGTGTATTCCAAACTCAACTGAATTTTAATGTCGACTATGACATATATAAATATTCGTTTTCTTTCTCAAGTTTATTATTTGAAAAAAAAAATAAAACAAACACATGTCACTATACAAGTCTGCTTAATTAATGGCTGGCTTAGATATTCATTTATTTTCGTCGACGATTATTCATGATCATAAGAATTCTGATGAATAAATTAATAAAATCCAGATATATTCCAATTGCATCATTGATGGGTGATAATTGTCTTGTACTATAAGCATTTTCTGCGTGTGCAATGATCTTTTTAGTATCCCATAATACAAAACCAGAAAAAACAGCAAGTCCACCATAAAGTGAAACATTTTGAAGTACAGATAGAGTACGAATAGCTGTAGCTGGTAAAGCAACAGATCCAATCGAAGCAAGACATACAGCAACAAGACCAGCCACTAGAATATTAAATGAAGATTTTTTTCTAATAAACATACAATTTCTTAGCACTTACTCAAGGGACCTCCTAACCATAAATATTGCTCACGTCGTGCTGTCATACCAACAGCACTAATTGAACCAACAATACCAGTTGTCATAAGAGCAGCACGAGCAATTAAAGCTGGTTGCATAAAATAAATAGGTGCTAATGACAAACCCATAGCACCATTAAATATTGCCCATGTTGCATATTTAAGTCCTGGATTTTGTCGATCATCAATAGCTTGTGTTGCAAATAAAGCACCAAGTGTACCAAGAAGAGATACACCCAAATATGCCCATTTATTCACTAGAAATAAAAAAAGAATAAAGGATTTGTTTTTTTTTGTTTGTTTGTATTATTATGTATTTTCAAAAAATAAAAACTTCTTACTCGTCATAATTCGTGTTGACCATCCAGTTCGATGAAAAATATAGGCAAATGTTCCTGTCATTGCAAGACCACCAGCAAAATGAGCATAAGTTGAACGTAAATGTTCTTTAACAACAGGAGAAAAAGCTCGATTGGCTTCAACAGCATCAGCAAATGACATTTGTTTCGGTTGTGTTATAGTACCTGGTACACCAACAGTTGGAGTATTAAGAACCTAAATATATACGAATATAATAGATAAATTTCTTAAATTTTCTTTTGCTTTTACTTTATTAAGTAAATATCCAGCACCACCGACGGCAACAAGAGCTATTCCTCCTCGAATAAGTGCTTGTTGTTGTCGATTTGATGCTCGTTGATTAACAGCAATTGATTGAGTTCGCTTCAATAATCGAAGCGATGCTGATGAACTTAAACGCATTGTTGGTAAACGAGCAAGTAAAGGTAACATTTTCTTTTGTTTTAATCTATTAAGAAAATAATCAAATAAATTTATCTTAAATGCATATATACCGGGTGGCCCAAAAGTAAGGAAACAAGAAGGATATGCTATAATAACGGGTACTAGATTGTTAATCATACTTTTTGTATTTTTTGTTGATGTCGGAAGCTGAAACTTTCAGAAATAAAAGATCTTAACTAGATATATATGTGATAAAAATTTCAGCTATCTATAGCAATAAAAAGGATGAAAAATATCATTAACAATCTGTTATCCGTCATTATAGAATACCCTTTTTGTTTCCTTACTTTTGGGCCACCCTGTATATATTTGTATATAGGAAAATAGACTTGCTGAGTAATAATCAATGTTCTAGAATGTGATATGGATGATGAAATAAAACTAATTATTGATTGTAGCGACTCTAAATTATTTTGTCTTTTATTTGTTTGTAAAAATAACCAATTATTGTTTTATGCGATATAATGAGTAAGTCGCTAGTAGTCGTTGACATTGACAAATTAAAAGAATCAATGTAAATGAATATGTATGTCTGTTTTGCTTTTCAATAATTATAGAGTATAAGTTACTTAAGCACGTTTTGTGTTTTTAATCAGTCACTTTTATTTAGAAAAAATTCCAGTAAAAAAACAGTACATACTTGTTACTTTTTAAAGAGATAGAATATTTGTTTTCATTAATTCATATTCTAATCTATGCACGAATGGTTTCTTCTGTGTCGGCATCAGAAAATGATGTTCGAAAATATTTTTTTATGAACAACTAAATCAACATATTAAGTTTTTGAGCATTATGACTATGATTCAGGTTCATAATCTACTAATGATGGGTTATGACTATTTTGATGAAGTTTTTAATTAGGCTAAGGCATACTTGCTATAGATATAATTTCAACTTGAAAATCTTTGTTTCGAATTCTCCAATAATACCTTGGTCTCTGTAAAAATTTCATTCAAACAGTCATCACTATTTAATAGTAGATCGTAGGTCGGAATTATTTTAAGCCTTTCTTAGTCTCACCAATGCCTACTCATAGCCTTAATGTGAAGTCGAACAGTGTCCGACAGTTAAATATGTTTTCTCCTACGATAAACTAGATTTCAATGGAATCTATTGGTGAACTCTACAACTTCTTAGATTCAACTAAACAGCAATTCAAGTTAAACATAATTTGATATAAATGTATGAGTTCACTTGTCTATTTTCGAATCGAGAAATACAGGCCGTTGTCTCGTCGAAAAACTCGGGAAGATGGTAGGAACTTGCAAGCATAATCCGATGATCAACTTTGCTCGAAACTAGAAAAATTTGGTCACTGGATTCAATCACTGACCTGGACTTTCATTCTTTTCGATTTTTTCTTGATTTTTAAATCTTTGAAAAGTTCTATTTAATTTTGTCTAAATCTCAACTTTGCCTGAAACCTATATGTACATGCTACATTGCTGGTAGAAAATTTAGTTAGATTCAAAAATAAAAGAGTATGATCCTTTCATGTCAGTGAATTTATGTTTACAGAAGATGATCATGCACTTTTAATGGCATTTGGAGAACTGCTAATGTCATGAGTCATGATAAGAGAAATAAAAGTTTTATTAGATGATAAAATTAAAATTTTAAAATATGTTACTTTTCAAGATAAAGAAATGCTGTTGGACATTAACTGAATAAAGACAATACTTGATTTTTCATATGAAAATAGATCGATAAACGACCGAAAAGTACGGGACTCATAGTGTGATGAGTAGACAAAAGAAAAAAAAAATATTTTTTTTGCTATAGTAAACATGAAGAAAATAGAAATTGAATAAACGAAATGAAGCATACAACAACAACACATGACAAGATATTTTTGTTGATATAATGAAAATGAACATCGTAAAATGTGTTTTACTGTATTATTCATATTATATGTTTAATATAGTAAATTCGAAGGCAAATAGCCGGGAATGTTTTTAAATCGGTGAAAAACACAATAAATTGAACGATATCTATACGTACTATCCTGACGAAATAATACGGTTAGTAATATTGATCTTACTATAAAGGCACAATGTAGCATAAAAACCGTCGTTTACAGTAATACGAAGTGACTAATCTGAGTAAGAAAACTCGATACATCTTAATGTTTGATTAAGAAGTAATTAGCAAAGCTTTGATAAGAAGAGTGACGTTGGCAATTTAAAAGATACTGCTCACATATCATTATGATACTGGAAGCAGGAAATACAGACGGGCTTATGTGAAGTAATGGAACATTATACGACTGCTGATGTAAGTTGCCGTTTTGCCAGTGTTTACTGTCAACAAAAAGATCATAAATGATATCCGTTTTGAACGAACTAGATAAGTCTCTAGTGTCCACAGTATATTAATAGATGTCACTAATGAAAAAGATTTGGAGCAAAACAATTTTAAAGTAAATGATTAAAATCGATTGTCAATTTTTTCTATTCAAAACTAAAAAGAAAGATAATCACTAATTAAAATCTTCTATTTTCCGTAGAGACATCTTGTCTCATTTTTACTGGATACAAAATGTATGCTGTACAATATGTATGTCTTTACTTCTACTCTCTCAACGTTGTTCAGTACATAATGATCCTTGTAACTATACTTCGTCAACCAGAAGTACGATCGTTGTTAACTTTCGTTTCTTCAATTCTTATTTTATTTTTGTCGGCTTATTCTATTTTGCTACCATCATTCATTTGGACATGGTTGTCAGCAAATTATTTATATCTTTTATTATATTTTATTGCTGTATTCTTTCTTATGAGATGGTGGGCTCGAGGTGGTCAATTTACAGATATTCAAAGTGTTGATCTAGAAGGACAAACATTTTTAATTACTGGTGCTGCTGGTGGAATCGGTAAAGAAACGGCAATTGAATTAGCAAAACGAGGTGCACGAGTGATTCTGTTTGCACGTCGAGGAAATTTGGCTGAAGCTGTTGCTGATGTACAAAAATCAGCACGATCATCAGCTAATGTTGTTGGTTACATACTTGATTTATCTGATTTACAATCAATAAAATCATGTGTTGAAGAATTTATGAAAAATGAAGATCCGTATGTATTTCGTTTTCATTTATCTTTTTTTTTCTCTTATCTTGTTTTTAATGTATAGAAATAGAACGATAACAGCTCTAATTAATAATGCTGGTGTTATGGCTTGTCCTTACTCAAAAACTAAAGATGGATTTGAATTACAAATGGGTACTAATCATTTTGGTCATTTTTATTTTACGAAACTTCTTTTACCACGTCTTAATTCATCACGTATTGTTAATGTTTCTTCTCTTGGTCATGCCCTATGGCAAGTACCCTGTGATGCAGCTCATTATACTCAAATGTGTAATCCAAATACATATCAACGATGGTCAGCTTATTCATTAAGTAAATCAGCAAATATTTTATTTACTCGTGAACTTCAACGACGTTTTAATGCATCACATAAAATATGTTCCTACTCGGTACATCCCGGTGGCGTCAATACACCATTAGATAGACATATAAGTGTTAGTACAAATATACGCACATTAGCAAAACCAATAAGATATTTATTATTTAAAACACCATTAGAAGGAGCACAAACAAATCTTTATTGTGCATTATCAGATGATGCTAAACCTGGTGCATATCATGCTGATTGTCAACCAATACCAGTAGCTAATAAATACGTAGAAAATGATGAAATAGCTAGTGCATGGTGGGATTATTCAGAGAAAGTTATTAATGAAAAACTTAAGGATATTGAAGATAAATAAACAATTTTATGAACATTTTTACATTTTTTTTCTATAGGTTTTTTTAATAAATGATTTTCAAGCATATATTTTCAATTGATTGATTACTTTTCTAGTTATTAAATAAGCAAGTCAAGTGAATTGAATGCAACTTAAGTTTCAAGTTTCAATCGTCTATGCATAACTTCTCAACGCCTTTCTCATGTCTTTAACAATTATAAAAATACTATATAAACATTTAACTCATGTTCTACGATCACTTCAATATCGCTTCCATCCTAACCTTAGTCTGAATTTCGTGAATAACTCATCACAGCACTCTTATTGAGAGAGACGACATATATGTGTGTTTCTTTAGCACCCACATCGAGACAGATATGTGTCTGATAGTTGAGTAGAAATCGCACTCAGAACATCGCATCTGGTATGGATACCACGAAAGCACGACTACCTCGACATCCTATATCTATAATATCTCTTATGCTAGCACTTTTTGAATTGTTGAGGGAATTCTAAAAAAAAAATTTATTTTAAATGGAGAATATAAGTTATTATCCGCTGTTTTATTGATAGATATAATTATAATAATCAAATGAAAGAAAATCTTTATTTCTAACTAGTAGATTACGGCAATGATTATATAACCATGTATGTCTTAAATAGTAGTATAACCTCCATCTGCTGTTAAGTTAGCGCCTGTAATAAATGGACATAAATCCGAAGCAAGAAAAACAACCATATTTGCTATTTCTTGTGGTGTTCCTATACGCTGGATGCATTGAGTTTCTGCTCGATTTTGAACAAACTGTTCCATTGTTAGATTTCTCGAAGCCGCCAGTTGCAAGATTGGTGGTGTTTCTATAATATGACTGGCATATACATGTATAGTGGTGGACAAAATTTTAGAGCAATTGTATATTTAAATTTTCTTCTCGATGATTATAGCTAGAGAAAATCTAAAACAGACATTTGTGTAGGTGAAAGAATTCTCCATCATGGCTGACACACTTGAAAACTTCAGTGGAACTTCTTGGATGAGAATCTACGAAAAATCGAGACCTTTAAAATCAGCCTTCTTGTCTCTATTCAAAGCTTTTAGGAAAAAGTTATATTTGATGAAACAAATGATTCTAAGCACAATGAGAAGCGTTCGATCATCTCTCCATGACCTTTTCTCATTGAACTGCTTGCAATTTACACAAGGCTCGAAAGCGTCCAACATAAAGAAAGGTCATGGAGTGATCAAACCATGAATTTAGAATCATTTGCTCTATAAAATAAAGTCTTTTATTGAAATCTCTAAATGCAAATCAGAAAGCTGATTTTCAGGATCTTAGTTTTCTATAGGCCTTCACCCAAGCAGTTTTGCTGGAATCTTTGGACGCATCAATCCTAACAGAGAATTCTTTCAGCTATACAAATGCTTTTCTATAAATTCTTGCTAGCTACTAACATCGAGAAGAAGACTTAAAAATATAATCACTCTTAATTTGTGCCTATAACTATACTTATTTATAAAATCACAAATAATAGTCTATAGTAAAACGTACCGATACAACCAGGAGAGATAGAATTGCATCGAATATTATATGGACCCAAATCGAGTGCTATATTTCGTGTCATTTGTATTACAGCTGCTTTCGTAGTATTATATGGTACAAAACCAGCTTGAGCAATTAAACCACTTATACTACCAAATTGAATAATGGAACCTGAACGTTGCTGTTTGAGCAAAGGTACAATATGTTTAATCATTAACGCATAACCACGAACATTTACATTGAAAATATGCGACCAAGCATCAGCTGAAACATTTTCAATTAAGCCCAAAGTAAAATCAGCTGCACTAAAGAATAAACAAAAGACTTAATTAAAATTTTACATGATTCACATTCAGCTCTACTGTTTCTTCGATTGAATATATTCATACGTACGCATTGACGAGTACATGAATTGTACCCCATTTATCCACGACTTTTTTTACTGCTTGTTCAATGGCTTGTTCATCAACTGTATCAAGTTCTAAACTCATTATTCGATCCGATGCTTCATTTTGATTGCCAAGAATGTCAGTCACTACTTTATCTGCAGCTGCCTTATTAATATCAGATACTACTACTCGAGCACCATGCAATGCACATGTATGAGAAATAGCAGAGCCAATACCTCCACCAGCACCTGTTATAAACACAACTTTATCTAGTAAAACTTGAGACCAACTTTCGTTTAGTTTTACTGTTGTCATTTTAGTCAGTGAAGAAATGGATGATGATAAAAAATCAAATAATATAAATAGATAAGAATGATGACTCTATTTGTTAACTCGTTCGTTTATATGTAAGGAGATAAAGGCAACATCTGAGCACCCAGTTTTTACGTAAGATAATAAAGTGCTGTCGAATGTATGCTTTTTATGTCTAACAATAACAAATAATTTTTGTATCAAAAAAACATATTCAAATTTTCACTTCATTAACCATATTTCTGATCACATATTATTGTTATATGAGAAATAAAACAGTACGAATACAAACATTTTTACCTTGCAAGGCATCTCAGAATAATCAATGTGACATATACATGGGTCTATATGGATTCTTTTTGAATTTAAACAAAAGCATAACACTCAGCTTTTATTTAAAATGAAAGTCTACGAGAGAAACGAAACATAAACATCCATTATTTTATATGATAGTGAGATCTGTTCGAATCAGGTGGTTCTATGGCTACTAGCTATGTGTATCCTAGAGCGAAGCAAATGATAGAAAAGACACTCAATATGACGAAACCATCCCAGACAACTAAGAATGAAAATTACTGCTGTTCTTGATCACTGATAAAGAAATTTCTTCAAGGAATAAAAAACTTCTTGAGACGAGACATGTATCATTAAATAGAGTCTAATGAGAATGGGCAAAAATCTAATATGATTCGTTTCTTTGTCGGCTTCTTTTTGATTGATGACAATTTTTTTAGTATTTGTAGGGTATGTCTTTATAAAAATCCAATATTGCCATTTTGACTTAAAATTTTGCTTATGAAAAGATTTTATCACAATAATCGTATACTGAAGTTTCATCAAGTCTATACTTGTTATTGCAATAAATAAAAAAATTAGTTTTAGATGAAAATTTCTATGTATGATCAGAGAAGTATAAGGTGGAAAAGAAGACAGTCGTTCTTTTATGACATATTCTACACTAAATTGAAAAATTATCACCAACCGAAAAGAAATCGACAAAAACACGAATCATTGTAGGTTTTGTCTACTCCCATTTGTCTTTATCTATTGACACAAGCCTCGTCTCAAAAGCTTTTTATTATTTGGAGAAATTCCGTAATAAACTTGAATTCAATTTCAATGATTCAAAAATCATTTAATAACTAAATAAAACTGAGAAGAATAAAAGAATACATGTCATAATTGTAGATCCAACATCCTATGTCCTATTGAGAAACAGATAACTGTAATAACTATCGGCTCTATTGTCCTTGTACCATGTTCAAATTACTCCCAAAAACTCAGATGTGATATGAAGATAGTTATTGAAAATTTAGATGCAGTACTCCTAGCGATCTCCCAAAAAAAAATATAAGCTTAGTGTTCAAATGGTTACAAATAGACATTATACTAGGATTCTTTCTAAAGTAACAAATAATGTGTTCTGAAAGTTATTAAATGTTTACAGATAGCATATTATGATATTTCTTTTAAATGCCAAGGTATGAACTAAGAGTTGTAATTAATATTATAATCAAATACTTCTCTAACGATTTCAAATAAAATATTCATATAGGTCTCAACAATTTTCAGATAATTATACCTAAAAGATCCCTATGAATTGCAGATCAAATATTAAAACACATTCACTTAAATTAAGAGTAATATGTCCATATTACTTTCAAAAAGTGAAATCATTAAGTCAATTACTTGAATGTTTAATAGAAAATAGTTAAAACAAACCAGTTCTTATCAAATCAGCTGTTTAAATTTCAAGGAAAGCAAACGATCTGACGTCCTGACGATGTGGGTGTGAGTGTTTATTTTCTTTTCTCTCACACGTCTTTCTTTTGTTTTTTTGAAAAAAAAGAATCTGCACCATTCATTTATTTCAACAATTGTTGCCTCTCAACCTTTGTTTTATATACAGAAATCAAAAAATAATAATAATAATAATCAACCATCAACCAAAATCAAATTTGTATACATTTTCTTCGAAAAAACGGCTTTTTCTATTGATATTTAAGCAAGACGATGGTCTTCAAGTGCACTACGAGCTTGTACATTTGTTGCATATTGATTTGGAAAGTTACCAGGTGGATAGTAAAGTGCCACACCATACCTAAACAAAAAAAAACCATATAAATATATATATTTTTTTCGATGTCCAAAACAAAAAAAAGAAAAACAAACAAAATTTACCATTGTTTTTTATCTTGTGTTTGACAACGACCAAAACCAACTTCTTTTGTACTTTTCCAAACTAATTGTGAAAAATGAAGACTATTTTCTTGTAAATCAGCATTAAAATCATGTCGTTGAGATTCTCTATACCATATCTCAGTAAGCCGATCACCTTTAAGTACAGGTCCAATAAAATAAGCTAAATTTTCACCCAATACTGATCCTTTATAACGTCTCCATTGATCAGGACTATGTTTAAGTTGATTCATTTTAACTAATTCACGTGCCCAGTCTGTTGCTGCTTTATTTAAATATTCATTTTGTTGTAATGGTGCTGCACCATGTTGTAAACGATGTTGATTATGAGACATTAATGCTTCAACAGCAAATTTTGAGTCATCAAGCTCGTCAATCATTAATGGATTTTCTGCTTCTTCCTGTGTATTTCGTTCAATTGGTATAAATAATGTTTGTGTTGGTTTTGCAATACCCCAATCTTTATTATGTAAACGTTTTTCACCTGTTTTAGGATCAATTTCATTTAATTTTCGATGATGACAGAAGTAGCAACATATAAGCACATTTGCCGTAATAAGTGCAACAACACCAATCGATAGGATTAACCAAACATACCAATATTGTTGAAAAAATGAACCTATTTGATCGGGTGTATCCAATGCAAAAAGTTGTTTGAAAAAATTCGCAAAATCACTAAAGACATCATTTGAACTACCACTCATTGTTGCTTATGACAAATAAATTATAGAGATGATAGGATTTTTTTAAATCTGAAACACAATTTTTTAAAATACAATTATTATCAATTAATAGTGAAAACAAGACTATTCACCAACGACAGACCTGCTATACTACGAGAACGAGAAGTTGCTGAGGACAAGATCGAATCTTCGAGAAAAAATTTTTAGAATTAGAACTAAATATTATCTGTAAAATATTCTATTGTTGTCAAGTGAATTATCTTATAAATCGTACTAGTTAGAATATAATTCAAAAGAGTGTCGATTAAATAAATCAAAAGCTAGCATTGAAGAATTTTTTAGATGTGATACGAATACATTTTGAAATAGTTCTCTCCGGAAGGTGAGAACTGAAAAAGTAACTATCGAGACCGAAAACAACAAAATTGGTCTCATACATATCATTTCCAACTCAAGCTGATGTGTTTTATGATTGTTTCATCGTAAGTTCTTACTGTTTACTGTGTTTTTTTCGATCAAAAACAAATGTAAAGAATTTTGAATCAAGATGTTTTTTTTTCATCTATAAAGAAAAGTAATTGAAAACACTGATACACTCAATACGAAAATTTACTTTCTAGCATTCTAATGGGTTTACGCTTACTAAAGAAAAAATTGCCTTTTGTATTAGATTTTGTTTCTGTTTTATTGTGATCATACGCCTTCCTTATTTTTTTCTCTCTCTCTCTCTCTTTTATTTGCACCCAATAAAAAAAACACAGATGCCGAATACTTTTTGTTTTGTTTGTTTTTGTATAATCGCATGGAGCGCAAGAACATAACGGATTGAATAGTGGTAGTGTTTTTTTTCAAGTTTGTTTTTCTTTATCCAAACGTCTTTTCAAGAAAAAGTAAAAGTAAAAAAATGGCATTTGTTTGATTTAGAAATTTTTTGTTTTTTTTTCATTCGTTTATAAAAATCATTCAAACATGTCCGCAGATCTGAGAATAATATTTTGAATAAAATAAATGATGACAAAATCAATAAAGAGATTTGACTTATATACATGCTTGAGAATGGTATATTTGAGATACATGTTCATGTAATGAATTGATTCATTTATGAGAAAATAATCTGATCGGTATTATTACATAAATGATGACAAATTTGTGCTTGAATTGGCAAGATGTATCTATAAGGATTCATAGATACAAATTGTTGTCATAAAAATAAAAAGTGATCTACAATCGAGAGTCGTGTACTGTAAGTTAACTGTTACTTTCAAACTAACTTTTTTAAAATATGAACTATCTATGGTCTGTGCAGAACGAAAAATTCCAATTTCCAAGTATTTACAATATACGTCGTAAGTCTACAGCTTAAAATTTCAGCAGCATTTATTTTTTGTCATGGTTTGATAGAGCTCGACAAATTACATAAGAAAAAATTATTGCATATGTATAACAGCAGCTTTACAATCGTAGAACGTTGTATCTATTACCCTTATCTTTAACAATAATGACCTCCTGGATTTTTCGTAAAATGAGTTTTGAATATGCGTAATACTATTTTTTTCGTAGATAACTCACCCAGTTCTATCGAACATACGACAAAAAAGAATGAAAAATAAATGCTGTTGAAGTTTTGAAGTGTAGGCGAGATTCTGCCAAATCTAATATTGTCGAATCCGGACTTGGACGAACTGTACTTTGATACTCTCAATGAAATTTTCTAATTGGAATCAAATAGTCATAACGAAAACATGAGATACTATTTTCCGACTTTTTAGATTTGGTCACTAACACACCCTACATATTTCTCAAACAAGTAGAGTTAATCGGGAGCAATCTTTTTAGATCCGAACCCTAGTAAGGGCACATATCGTTGACTGTATATACTCGGAAATTTAAATATCTTGGAGTGTATGCGCTATAGCTAGCGTATATTTTAAGAGAATTAGTTTGATAGTGAGAGTATTCACTTGATCCAAATATCAGAAATTGCTTTAATTTACAGTACATGACTTTCCATTGTTAGTATAGAAGTAACCTACAAAAAATGTTTTTTTCATGTTTATTGAAATGTTGAAGCGTAATTTTATCTTACTGAAAGTTTTGAATGAATAAATATTTCCTTATTTGAAATAAACTAGTTATTTTTTTCTACAAGAAACACTTCCAATGTCGAAATCGCGTCAGTGCATGATAAATACTTTGTACGACATAAGAAAAAATTAAGTCTACATATAAAATATGTCATGAAATATGTTTTCTTTTTGTTTTGTTTTCTCAGTTGTATTAAGTACACAGATTTTTAACGAATCTATTCACTAGACGTAAACATGAAATCTTTAATACATGTATAAAGCATTAATGTATTGTTTTCTTTTGTTGATTAAACGAAAAAAAAGTACACCCTATTTCTTAATTTCAAAAACAACACCTAAACATTCATAAACTATCAAGATATTTTAAGATATATATTTTCTCAATCAAATGATTAATGAAGTTTTTTTGTAATATCACATCGCATTTTTATTGATTATAGTAAAAGGAATAACACAAAAAGAAAAGTTATACATTTTTGGCAGTATCAATGCTAAAGTGTCGATCTATATATTAGGTTACACATCTCTATATTCTTCCACACTGTGCTATTCTTATATTTTCTTTTTTCTATTCTTGTACAACAAGTTATTCGGTCGTTTTTTTCCTACGCTTGTAGCAAGGAAAAGCTTTCCTTTTCTCTCAATTGCGTCGTTCTATTATCAAAACGGATAATAAGACTGTACATTTTCTAGTAGAACTAATAATATTTCTTCTACTTTCTGACGAATAACAAGTATCCCTATACACGAATAAATCAACAAACTCATCATTATCATTAACCTTTAAGAATAAAAAATGGCCACAGTTAATTCTATTGAAGATGAAGCAGAACTTCAAAAAATGGTTTTTTTTTTTTTCTTTATTTAATATGCTGATTTTTATTTTTGTCTACAATGTAATTTTTTTTCTTCTTCGTACAGTTAAATGCAGCAAAAGATCCTGACGAACGTAAAGTTATTCGTACACGATTATTAGCAGTAAAGAAAATAAATAGTGGTATGTATCTTTGTTATTCGTGATAGCTTGAAAATTTCTTTTGTTCTCACAAATAAATTATAGAAAAACGTGAAAAAGAACGACTTCAACGTGAACAACGTCGCGATGAAGATATCAAACGACGTAATCAAGCTCAAATGGAAGAAAATATGCAACGTATGCAAGTATTCGAAGAAACAGCAAAAAGTTTTGGTACTAAACTTGAAACACAAGCGGATAAATTAAAAGAACAAGCACTTAAAGATAAACAAGCTTATATTGAAAAGGACCGAAAAGCGTAAGAAATTTTCTTTTTGTCTTTTTGTGCTTCATATTAAATATAGTCTTCTTATTATCATAGTGAAATAGCTCGTATGGAAGTAGCAGCTAAACAGCATATATCAGCTCACATAGGAGAAGATCGTATTGAGGCATTGACAAAAGTATATTTCTTCAAAGATATATCTTGTTGTATGTTATACATAATTATGTTTTAGCAACGTCAACAATGGGCTGTTGAAGATAGAAATGTTGAGGATAAAAATCTCAAAGATTTATCAAAATTTACAAAAAATACAATGGGTAAGTTTGTTTTATAAACCAAAAATAAAATTACATTGTTTTTTTTTTAATAATTTTTAGCTAAGGAATAAACAAGGATAAAATAATCTCAAACATATGTATACACGAAAAAGACAGCATTTTTAAATAAATACAAATAAAAAAAAGCTAAAATAATAAAAAAGATCAAATATGATACAATCTTTTCAAATGAATTATTAGGCGATGTATCATCTATAGTCTTTATTATTTGATATCGACTATTTAATTGCAATACTTCAAATATTATCAAATATGCATGCATATATATTGTAATATGCATTTGAAGTTGAAATGTTTTTTTGATAGTAACATTGTTCGGCTTAGTGTGGGTGATAAAATAACTTGATTAAAGGATCATATTATGAGATAATATGCAGATATACTATTATCCTTTTCAAAAAACAATAGGCGTGGCTATTTTTTGAATAACTCGAGAACACAAACAGCTAGAGATCTGCGGTTTTCACCAGTCGAAAGAGGAGACAAGGGAACATCTTTTTCTCTAATATTGTATAAGACGAAATCATTTTAAAATCAGTGATTTCTGCAAAGCATCGAAAAAATGTGTAAAAACGGTCTGTCATTCAGATGAAATTTTGAGAAAAAGTAAGAAAATTTGCTTAAAAATTAAAAGAAATTCACAGTTTTCGTGAGAGTAAACAGACGATTTTATTTGCTCAACATTAGGATATGGGAAGATAGTCATTCGAATTATACCTTGAACTATAGATCTGAAACTTCTCTATCTAGATCACATGTCAAAACGAAAATTTCATCGGAATAACAGATCGTTTTCATGCACTTTTCGTAATGTTTTGCAGAAATCATTGATTTTAAAATGATTTCGTCTATACAATATTAGAGAAAAAGACGTCTCCTTGTCTCCTCTTTCGATTGGTGAAAACCGCAGATCTCTAGCTGTTTGCGTTCTCGAGTTATTCAAAGAACAGCCACGCCTATTGTTTTTTAAAAAGGCTAATAGCAATAGTATTTATAACTATAGGCGTTCTTGTGACAATACTGTCTATTGATAATACTGTTGAATTTCCTGATGCATCTATTTCTATACATTGATTCGGTATCTTTTTGTTTCACTGACGGGATTTTTTTCTCCTTTAATCGTACTGTCAGTAAAAAGGCCAGAAAAACGCTTTTGATTAGCGGACGTGGGTGTAGGCGTAAGTGTTCTACTTCTCCACCCCTACACGCATTCGGGTTGAAGAGTTAGCACCACCAACTCAATGCAAATATTTCCACTTTCAGTCCAAACTTATACGAGATGATTGATGAATTAAAAAAAAACGATTATGTGTTTAACACAGATATGCTGAAATAACTTGACAATAATTCTCTTGGCATCAGATGAATATTTTAATAAGATCAGTAAAACAATTGGTAACAAACTACATTACTATTTTGTTGTCATTATCTGTATGAACTATTGAGATTATTTTCTCATTTCTATTATTACAATAACATTCTGTTGTACAAAGTTGTATTTGTTTTTTTTTTATAAAACACTGTTGAATGAAAAGTGTTTATATGATGGACCGAAACTGAGTTCTCATACATTACAAAAGTTTTATGGAATTTATAATTTTGTCAATAGATAAAACGTAAAATTAAGTAGAGAATAGGAGGCAAAATTTTTAAGTTGTAGACCAGCTTGATCAACCTAGACAATGTTCGGTCTGGTTAAAAAGGCCAGATAAAGTCAAAATTGTTGGTCTGGCTCTTATATCTTGGAAATCATACGTAGATGCATTGCCTTTATTATTCGAGAATATTTTGACAAGTTCATTCGATTTCAACAAGAAATACTTGAATCGAACGTCAATTTAATGTTGTAGGACTTACACTGACAGACATAATAACTTGTTCAGATCCAAAACAGTTGGATAGTAAATTTTGCATAGATGCTGTCGTGACAATTGATTGTCAAGTATAAATGTCCTTGTCTGTTATAATAAGTATCATTTATTGCCTACAGCTTCGTTATACGTTTTCTTTCATTCTGTCTCATTTCGTCAACTAATATCTTTTTTTTCAATTTTGTTGAAAAGTTCAAGCGCAATTAATAGAAAACTCCAAGAATTCCTACTTGCTTATTACAATTTAATCTAGAAATATAATCACTGGCAATATTTTTGTTTTTTTAAACAATAACATTAAACAAAAAGAGCTGTGGGTGTTAGTCTTCTCTTAATTCACATCTCTCGAACCTTAACTTGTAGATTAAAAGCTTGATCATTAGACTGCGGTTTGCCAAAGAAAGAAGAATTTATTGACGAAGTAGGATAATACTCTTTTTTTTATCTCTTTGTGGTATGTTTGATCTTATGTTGTTTTGCTATCATGATTACATCTTTTTTCCGATTATGCAAGACAATTCTGATATAATCAAAAAAAGCAGAGTGCTGATTGAAGGTTTTTTTTTGTATGAAAAATATTTATGATAATTGTTTCGTCGTTTTGATGTGCTATTCCATGCAAGAACTTGTCATTATCTTAACTTCATGAAAATAAATGAAGTGAATAACTCAAGTTAATGTAGAGTTAGAGAATTAAATATATTCGAAAAAATCAGAAACATTTATCATCCTGGCTTTGCCTGTTGGCAGCTTTGATAGTGAACCTTTATTTGTCAAAATATAAACTAAACTACGTGTTGGCATTCAATAATAATATTGGTTCGGCTTAAAGATAAAAAGATATGAAGCAAAAAAAACTAAGATGAGCATCATGTAATGGTATAGAATCATAAATAATCGAAATAATTAGATACTATACTATGGTATAAATGCAGTTAAGGCTTATTGACTGTATGAAGATTGATCTTTGTTTGTCTTGAGTAATGATGACAGATCAGAATGGAAGAAGAACTAACTCTAACAACTTATGTATACATATAAGAATGAGTCTAGTCTATCAAATGAAATATTTAATATGCTTTTATCGTACAGAAAATCTGTAAAATAGAAGACTGATGACATCAATCGATTGTAAAAATTATTCAAAGTTAATATCAATCAATATGTCAATGGTTTGCCAAAACTAATTGTATCATGTTTCATAGAGTTGGGCAAATCAAGTTGAGTATGATTTGACTCGAGACATTTCTGTTGTGACTTGCGCAGGTCTGTATGTATGTCATAATGGTCACTTGTAGAACATAGTAAAAGAAAGAAACACCCAATATTAGTGAATTACACTATCACAATAATCATTATTACAATTTAATTGACGTTTTTAGTTTTATTTCAATTTCAATTATCAATAAAAACCTTGTGAGACGATTCGTGAATCATCAGTTGTTATAGAAAAAATAATATTAAAACGACTTCCTCTTTCCAAAGTTTCTGGAGAACGGCTCATCAAAAAAAAGAACATTTAAAACTTCCAGAGTAAATAGATCTCGATCAATAGATCAAAAATTGTCATAAGCTCCGAATCTGTCAATACTTTCTTTTAGGAGAATATCTGGATCAAAAAGGCTAAATATCGCTCCGATTTCTCATCCGCAATAGATCCAATAGGTTCAGATTTTGTTTTTACAGGTACTAGTTACTATTATCATTTATCTGAATTAATTATTCGAAAACTATATTTTTGACTTGACTGACGAAATAAAAATTAAAAACTAGCCAGAAGATAGAAAAACCTTTTTTTAACGCCAAGTTCAGCCAAGTTTGATGTGAGTTATCGAGTTATGATTTTTTCTATGCAAAGAACTTTTCATGACATAAGAGTTTCAACTGATGATTATCATTATTATTTACTCAGATATCATTCTAATAGTGTATATGTAAATAAAAACTCAGCTTTGAAAAGAATTTGAAACTACAAAGTAATACACAGTATTCTTAATTTGAGTGATAATATAGGCTTTGATGATTTAATTTCGAATCGTTGTGTTCGAACTTCGAATGATTGACTTGTTTGTTTCTAGAGCATTATTCGAAACAATACAAATTGAGATATTAAAAAGTTCTTTTCTTTGAAATAATATACTCATTTAGAGAAGAAGAGGACGCTAGCAGTCGTTTTTATTCTCTTTGACCTATGTCCGTTCGTTCGTTCATTAACCATCCACCACCCACTCACACACATGAATTATTTTCTCTAGTGATTTCTTTTTCTTGTTGTTCGATGTCTTATTTAATCCAGATATTATTTTAGATAGAAATTCATTGATTATTTCTCTACTTTTCCCCCTTAAAAAAAACAAAATGATGTCAATACCATTTATGGATCAATCAGTTACATCAATAACATCTTCATCAACACATTTTGATTCAACATCTCGTCGTCAATCATATTCTCCTATATCAACATCATCGTCATCATTACCTGTATGGAAATCTTATTTATATAATTTACAAATGCAAGCACCAAAACCAAATCCAATTATATGTCGAACTTCTCAATCACGCCGTCCAAAACAATATGGTTTAGAATTTCATGGTCTTTTATCACGTACCGAAGCTGATCAATTAATGTCAACATCTATGGATGGTTCATATCTTGTACGTGAATCATTAAATCCACCAAATTCATATACATTAGTAATAAAATTTAATGGTGAAATAAAAAATTATAAATTATTTTTTGATTCTCAAACATCAACACATTATGTTGGTGAAAAACATTTTGATACATTAAATGATCTTGTACATGATGGTTTAATATCATTTTATTTGGAATCAAAAGCAAGTGATTATATTGCATTAATGGCATGTGATTCACAATGTTATACTAATGAAAGTCCATATGGACAATATAAACAACAATTATTACATCGTGTACAAATACAAAATAATAATTCGAATCAAAATGAAAATAAAGTATAACATTTTGCAAAGGATTTCGTCTGATTTAGTAACTTATTTTTAATCAAAATACCATCTATGTGGTTTTATAGGGTAATTTACGACAGATTGCATGGTATATAGAAAACTGATTTTCATGTGCTGTGAGTCCATATACTAGTTATAATCTTCCAGAAATATAGGTGGTGCTCATAAACATCGTGAGTCCTAAGAAAAACTTATTGAATGTATTTTTTGAACTCAATGCCATACACTTATAGGCGCTCTGCAATTTTCTATACTTAATAGTTTTCATCGTTGCTTTCTTCATACTTAGAAAACTAGGTTATGGTTTGACTATATGATATTCTAGTGTGTTCATCTTTGTGTCACAGAACAAGTGCCAATGTAAAACATTCTTAGAAATTACACATTATCAAGCTCTATATATTTCTTATACAATATTTTTTTAAAATAGTAAGGACACATTGCCAACCGACAAAATTGTTCCTAGAATACTCTATTCCCCTATATGAAGAGGTCGGTATATTGATGACATTTTAACAGGTACGGAAGGGTTCTATTAAAAACTTATATACCAATAATCAGCATAGTGTTTCTGATAAACTGATATAAATGACTTGTTTATAAACGAGAAAGAATTTTGACTCCAGACCTCTGGAAGAAGGTACGAGCATATGAGTTGTACGAAGGAGATCTTTTATTTTTACCATTGATTTTTCAAATATTTATTCCTAGTATATAGATTTGGTTTTTTACAAGAAACTCTACAAGAATTTATATATATATATATCTCATGCTCATATAAAAAAAAAAATTTTCCATATACTCTTATGCTCTTCCAGAACTCTAAAGATCCGAATTTTTTTCCTTTTATACGCGACCTATTTATATCAGTGCATCAGGAATGCTATGCTGATTATATGTTATATAAGAATTTTCAATAAGACTACTGAAAATTGTTAAAATATCGTCAATATACCTGTCCTTTCACATAGGAGAACAAACTATCCTGGGGAACAATCTTGCAAGTTAGTACTGTCCCTACGGTTTCGACAGATGTTATGTATGACGCACATACAACTCGATAATGTGTAATTTTCAAGAATATTTCGCATTGGCATTCACTTATTCTGTGGCACAAACATGGACAAACAAGAATAGTATATAGTCAAAACACAACCTAGATTTTTTTTAGTAGGAAGAAAGCAACGTTGAAAACTGTTAACTATCGAAAATTTAAGAGCACCTATAATTGTATGACATACAGTTCAACAACCACATCATTCACAGCACAGAAATTTTAATAAAACTTGGTTTCTTATATGGCATTCGCTCCATCATAAATAACCCTACCAAATCACATATATGGTATTCTAGTTCAAAATAACTTACTCAATCCGGCGGAATCCTTTTATTTATTTTAATTTGTTTTCAAGGATACACCAACAAATCGTTCAATAACACAATCTCAATCACAGATTGATCAAACGACACTTGATTATCTTTTACCATCATCTCGTAACTCATCGATTGTACCACAACGTACATCATTGATAAATAATAATTCAACAACGACAACAAATCTTCCACAAAAGCTTCCATCATCCAATCCATTATTTTTTGATCGTATACTTATAATGCAAGCAGAAAAAGCACATAATTTTAAAATACATTCATTTAAAGGACCACATTGGTGTGATTATTGTGCCAATTTTCTTTGGGGTCTTGTACAACAAGGTGTTAAATGTGCTGATTGTGGTTTTGAAGCACATAAACGTTGTTCAGAAAAAGTTCCACAAGACTGTGTATGGATAAATTCTTCTAATAAGAACGTTTTTAATTGATCAGCTACCTTTTCATCGAAAGCTATGAAGTTTTAGGTTATAAATCATATTGATTAGGAATATGACTATGAGAAATACTCTAGGGTTTTCATATGCTGCTTTTGCTCGATTAACAAACTGTTAGATTTTTTAAAATTATAGGGCATATCGAATTGTTTAGAAGATAGGAACTTTTTCTAATTCAAAACTTTTTTTCTGCTACATAAGATACAGTCATCTTAATTTACACAACAAATACATACTAACAATATATTGTGAAAATCTTCAGCATGATACTATTTTACTTAAAACTCATGTTTGGGAAAGAGAATAACTCATGGATTTGTAAACAACTTTTTAAGTTGTATAATCTGAGTGAAGCAAAAACGATTTTAGCACGTTGTTTCTCAGTCTAGAATAACCTATTTGTTAAACAAAAAAAATTTGTCATGGTTATATTCTACTCCATATCCGATGAGTTCTGATGAATCGTATATGAATGCTTTTGGTTAGCTGTAGATAGCTGCTGGAATATGAGTAAAATTAGGTATTTGGAATATATAATATTCAATAGGTTTTACAGTGCTAGTCAAAAACCTAAGTCTAAGGTGTTTTTTTATGTTTTTCTATGACATAAAATATTTAATTCAAATAGCTTTTCACATAGTCGATGAAGTTCTTTATCACATGCATTTTACACTGAAATTTCATGTATGGATGATGAGAAGAAATTTTCTGGAAACCCAAACACGATCGTTATCAAGACTCAGAAAACTGTTAATGATACTATTTTGAAGAACACAAAACTCTAAATACAATGAATGATTGGAACATAGTCTACAAGTTTTCTTTAAAAAGTTATAATCATCACATAACAAATTGCGGTTTTTAGTACTTCTATGAAGAATTTCGCTTTTTTTTTCTCATATTTTGTAGTGTTTATAACTTTTCAGCTGAAGATTATAAGTAATGCGATAATCCTTCATTATGTTCAGAGCTTTTGCTGTTTAAGATGTTTCACTTGATAGTCTTCTGGAATCTGAAAATTAACATGTTTGATTTTTCAGAAACCTTCCTCTCATATTTCATGTGTAAGATTTCTACTTTATTGGTTGTCTTTCTTCTAAAATTAATGTACAAACGAATATCAACGATAAGAGTGATTCAGTATTTTTGTTCAGAATAGTAATTTTGATAAAATATATGATAAAATATTCAGCGATGTTATTCGATTATCAAAACAAAAATATATCTATGACTCTTTCATTTTGATTAAATTCTTTTACACATAGTAGTTTGTTTCATATGAAATATTGAATTAAAATTAATCGATCTAGCTGTCTGTTTTCATTTATTAATAGGTACCACAAATGAAATATTTAAAATCAATATTTGGTGTTGATTTAACAACTTTAATTAAAGCAACAACACCAGCCTCATCAGTTGCATCATTAACACCGATTGTACTTGAAAAATGTATAAATGAAATTGAATCACGTCCATATGCACTTGATACAGAAGGTATCTATCGAATTGCTGGATTTTCTGATACAGTTGAAGAAATCAAATTAGCATTTGAACGTGATTGTGATCATGTTGATTTATCTCAAGAACGATATCCTGATATTCATGCAATAACTTGCGTGTTAAAATTATATTTAAGACAATTACCTATTCCACTTATTACTTTTGATATTCATACACAATTACTTGAACTTCGTCCATCATCATTATGTGTAAAAACCATTCGTCCCATAATTCGTCGTTTACCACCAGCTCATTTTCATACATTAAAATATTTATGTGAACATTTACTTAAAGTATCTCATCATTCAATGCGTAATCAAATGACAATTGAAAATTTATCAATTGTATTTGCACCAACAATAATGCGTTCAGAAAATCCTGATCCCATGATTGGATTAAAAAATTCTAAATCTATTCAACGTTTACTTGAAATTATTATTGAACAAACACATGATATATTTTCTTCTTAAAGACGATTAAAGAAAAAGAAAAACGTTATTTATTGTGTGTTTTCATTATAAAAATAAATCAATGACATGTACATAGATAATACCAAAACACCTCTTCACAATAGCTCGCAGTAGATATGAGATAAAATAAATTTCAGGCTCCAGAAGCTTTCTTTTAAAAATCCCATTTTCAAGAAAATAAAAATAGGGAGTCGTCGCACTTTGTACGAGCATTTTTAAAGACGTTAAAAGTATCACAAGAATCGAAGAAAAAAGGCGTTTTTTTAGCGATTTTTGCCGGGTTTTATTATAATTTTAATCTATCAAGAGGAGGTCGTAGAAAATGTAGCGATTACTCGTTATGATAAGAATTTTGTGCTTTTTAAAACGACATTGTTAAGAAAAAATAGCTCCTGTAGCCTGAAAACTATTGTTGGGTTCTCCGAAAATCTCCATCTATAAAATTTTGGTGTAAAATACGTTGGGTACAAAACTCCACTGGCTATTACAATCATTATCTAGATTTCAGCTAGGTACTTAACGTTATAGAAAAAAAACCATTCAAAAATATGTTGTTGTTCAAATTTTTTCCACTACCATACACTATTTAATTTCTTCCATAATCAGCAACAGAAAAAAGAGGTTATCTCAAGCTACACACAAAAAAAAGGAAGTGAATCAACTGACTCAGAATTCATTTCGTGTCTTTCTGCTTCTAAAATTCCATCGATTTCACTACGTACACGCTTGCTTGTTGCTGATGATGCTACTATGGAATGCAGTGTTGGTACCAGCCGCCACAACTACAAATACATGCCTGAATGCTTTTTGTATCACGGTAATACATGTTCATTCGTTTGATAATTCATTTTCCTCTCCAGGTATTTAGTTGCTTTGTCATATGATTCATCATCATCTGTAGATAAGTTTTCATTAAAAGCGAATTCTTTTAGTAAGATAATTTCGCTTTATACTTTTGTGACCTATTTTCAAGTACAATAAATTGCTGAGATTTTTGACTTTTATGATTTTTGTATAAATATCAGTATAAAAAAGTAAAAGTATTTTGAAAATACCATTAATTGCTGGGTCGGGTCCTGATGTGAGATCATACTCGTACCCATGATCCGGATCTGGTTGAATACCCGACTCGATTGTAGGACATAACTTCAAGGCAGTGGTTTCTGATTGATTGTTAAAAAAACATTTTGCTACCTAATATTTGCTTTCTATTAAAGTCTATCGATATTAACCTTTACCATTCTATGATGATATTCGTTTTTGAGAGTGACACGGCAGATGAACTGTCGTAAATCGATTAATAAAGCAAGACATAAAGTCAATATCAAATTGTTTAGTTCAATACGAAAAATGCATGCTGACATGTGACATTTTATGGTGTTGATGATTCATTGGTACTTGCTGTGCACCTATATTGATATCATACCCCCGCTGATCTTCCTTTCCTCTTTTCTGTTTGTCTTGTCACTGTTGTTTTTTTCCTATGCTCATCTTTCTCTCGTGTTCTCGTGTATCAAAACGTGTCTGTTATGTGAAGTACTAGTTACAATGTGAAGACATGAAGTAGTCTATACACATTGTTATCGAGTGTAATAGAAAGCTACTCATTTAGCTTGTCATTACATGGCAATCCTGGCAGAAAGTTATCACTAAATGGCAGCTACGACAACAAAACTTGCATCTCTAAGTTCAAAGTTGCACCTTGCCAGAACTAACAATAAATCAACTTCATGGATCATCATTTGGCAATACGGTTATCAACAATGAACGGTAAAATGATACTAATAGAAGCGACGAATGCACGGAAAGACAAGAGTTGAAGGATGTGACACTATGGGTGGCAAGGTTTGAACTGGCTGTATGAATGTTCTCGCGTACTTTTCTTTGTAACATTGGTAGGGTCCATGGTATTTCTTTTCAAGCTGCCCCATAATTTTTCACCTCACTCGTATACTTTTTGTTCAAAAGAAATGAAGGAAAAAAACTGGTATTGAAGAAGAATAATAATAATACCACTGCTTTTCGACCCCGTTTCAGTATAGGATGCTGTCCAAAGACGGCTTCGAAGGCGCGATATTTTCCTACAACGATAGCTAGCCACAGTTGAGGACAGAAGACCGATCTGACTCAGACTTTCTCCTGTTTAATCAATTAAGGTCCCCATACATGCTGACTAACCACATACAAACTACAAGGGCTTTTTCATTCTATGTCTAATGGCGTTGAGGTTCGAACACAGTATCTTGTAGATATGTGTCGAATATCTTAACTATTCAGTAATAGCGTTTGACAACTGAAATTGATGATATTGAACTTGATTGTATATCGGCCATACACAAGTAAAATTTATCTAGCGTGAAAAATATTAATATATCATTCACACTATAATTAGTCAAACTATTATGGTGTGTTTCTTATCTTTTATCATCATCTACATTGAGCTCAACTGACTATTCCCGCCAGGGTTAATACTTGATTGCGGACATTTTTTTTTTGACAATTAAGGAAAAATGTTCACACCGTAGAATCCGAGGGGGAGAGCAAGAATAAACAGCAAAATGGAAAACTTCAGATAATGGAATCAAGGCACTAATTTTTTAGTGTAAGAAAACATAAATGAAAAGAAACGAAACATTTAACCTTGCTTAAGTATGTAATCCAGGTCATCTTTTTCAGTTTTAGCAAACACCTTGATATATTGATAACAGAGAGAACGTGATTTGCTTTGGCAACGATAATTGATCCAAGAGGCCATCTACCTAATTCTGCTTCGTTTGAATAAAATATTTTCATTGTTTACTGATTTGAATTTTGTAGGTCAATTTGTATGTTCTTGAGCTTCTTCTTGTTGGGCTCACACTATTGTTAATTCTTCCTGCTCTAGAATATACCTTATCCATGCCTAAAGATTTGGATGTATTTGATAATGAGAATTTAGTTGACCATGATATTCTTCAATGTGATCATTAGTTAAGAGTTCAACACGAATTAAAGCGAATGAATTTCAAAATTATTGAGACAATAATTCTTCTTCAATGTAGGTGCGAAGAATATAATCTGTTAATTTTAGAAACTTGTGGTGTATATTACTTATTGCTTCTATAATATTACTAAAAGCTTCATTCATTTCTTGTGGTGGTAATAAAGGTAACATAATGATATATGCTATTTGTCGACGAGCTTCATCATTATCGGATAAATTCACTGAACCTTTTTTCTTAATTTGTCTCCAAATATTTTGAAAGAAGTGAAAATAACATTCTTTGATGCTTGCTGATGGAAAATTTTTTGAAAAAGCATTTAAGGAGACTTGTTCAACATCGATTAAAATAGATTTTGGATTAAGCAAGACACCACTTGTTGGAGTTCTAATACTAATTCTTTCAATAAAATATCATGTGTATTATCGTTTTTTGATAGATAATGCAGCATATACCGTTGGTTTCATCCTATAGTCGTTCCATATGTGAATACTATAACTTTGATAAAAGAGTCGAAATGCAGTGAGGAAAGTACTGTCCCTGTTCCAATGTGCATTTGTATCAAGCAGTTGAATAGCTTTTGGTGCTGCGAAAGCAAGAATCGGTGCTTGGCGATTATTATAAAATAAGAATTTGTGTCCCATTAATGTTCGAGTAAGTTGATCAGGTACATTAATTGTTGATAACGACTTGGATACTGGTGGATGTTGGAACGACCGATATTCACATAATGATGATTTAATACGATCAAACACAGGAACTTCACCAGTACTAGCGCTTTCTCGTCAAAATTTTTTAGCTTCTTGATCGTATAATAATGATACTGGTGCTGTGGGTTCTTCTTTGATCTTTCGCTTCATGGCTTTGATGCATTCATATACATTTAACTACATTTTTTCTGGATTTTGAAATTCATGTTTTCCATCAGCTTTTATAAGCGCTGTTTTTACAATAGAACCTTCATATACGGTTATGACAGCATCACATAACGTACGTGTATGAAGCCGTACTTGACTTCCATTTATTTTTAGTACGTCCCAAATCAAAATGATGGTTTTTAAACATTACTGCATCATTACCAAATTGTGTGTTAATTTTAGAAAAGCTATCGTGACTAAAGATCGATATTTAAATTTAATTTGTTTTGCTTTATTTCAGTCACTTGTAATACTTTAGATACAAGCAAATATAAGAGAAATTCTGGGACACCACATGGCATTCATAACTGGAATATCTCTTAAAAGATGATACTCTCTCTGAAGCGAGGCATCTGCACTGATCATTTCCTTTTATTTATTTTCATTTGTTTCCATAATGCAGACATTTTCTATTTTGCGGTCATTTTTTTCTTCCAATTAAGAAAAGACGTCTACAATCAAGTAGACACCCGCTGGCTAACGATTCATCATGATCAAGTATCTATATATAGTGGCGGCCAAAATTATCTGACCGGCTGTAATTTGAATTTTTTCCGTCGCCGTAAGTGCTAGAAAGAATCCAAATAGTCATTCAAATAGAGAAAACTGTTTCCAACAAATATTTGCGAAAATGATAATCGTCACTAAATTCCTAAAAATAGGGTTTCTGTAAAATCAAAACCCTGGTTTTTCAAAACCTAAAAATCGTGGCATAGTTTTTGTTTTAACAGTCTAGAATGATAGAACAGCCAATTCTCTACAAAATGAGACGTCTCCCAGCGTTCTACGACATTCACTTCAAGAGTTATAAGCATCACAAGAAACCAAAAAATGCGGTTTTTAGCTCATTTTTAGCGATTTTCTGATAAATTTCACTTTTTGTAACTCTTATAACTCTTGAAGCGAATGTCGTAGAAAACTGAGAGACGTCTCATTTTGTAGAGAATTGGCTGTTCTATCATTCTAGGTTGTTTAAAAAAACTATGCCACGGATTTTAGGTTTTCAAAAAAACAGGATTTGGGTTTTACAGAAACCCTATTTTTAGGAATTTAGTGACGATTATCATTTTCTCAAATACTTGTTGGAAACAGTTTTTCCTATTCGAATGACTATTTGGATTCTTTCTAGCACTTACGACGACGAAAAAAATTCAAATTACACCCGGTCGGATAATTTTGACCACTCCTGTATGTGCAAAGTTAATAATAAAAAGCAATCAATCATTTATCATAAATATTAAGATATAAATAAAAGATATCAACATGAGTTTTCTTTCCTTTGACGGTCATGAAGGTGCATAAGTTTTGTTTTTCCTTTTTTTTTAAATGAAAGTGTCGCATCTGATACGATGATATGTAAAATGCTACACTTATTTTTTCTGTTTTTTAATGAAGAATTACTGGAATAAAAGTGAATTTATTGAAAATGCATAACTTTCTGTAGTTATTTCGTTTGAGCCGTGATACCACTTTTTTCTCTCATTTCTTAATTTGTGACGCATTCACCTGATCTAAATGTAAAATACGAAAAGAAATCGTTCTAGGTATCTTTGATGCACCAGACTTGATTTTCTGTATGTTGCAATTTATGTCATTTTTTCCTTTGAGTTGATGACAAAAAATGTTTTGAAGTTCATTAAGTACTGACTAATTTTTTTTGGTGCATCAGACAGTTATGCGTTTACTTTTTTACGTCATAATGTAATGATATTGTGAGCAGATAGATAAGTGTAAACAGTATTATTGGTTGTATGTCTCTTATAAATTCTATGAAGGCAAATTGTTTTGTTTTTTTCTGTGCCGCGAAAAATGCCCATATATATCAAGTGAATTTATGGAAATAAATCTTTCTGTTTTTCGTTCGTGTTGATTCATTGATAATTTGATGCTTTTTATGAAATGTTGAAGTTAACGGCTTAAAATATGAAATAAGTCGTCCTGAACATTTCATGTATCGTGTACAGTTATTTTTTTTCATATTGTTCCTAAGTTTTTCGATAATATGTCAATTGTTAAGTGGTCTCGTAAATAGGTGTGAAAAAATGTAATTCAAGTGATTTTAAGTCTTATTATTCAATATCGTTCCAAGTTTTTTCCCGTTATTTGACAGAGTTTAAATGATCAGTTTTTCCATATGTTCTGTTTATTTTTCTTCGCTTCACCTTTGCCGACATTGATAGTACCTCACCTTGTTGACCTGCTTCTCTTCTTTGTCTTATCTCTGGTGATTCTCCCTGTATCTATTTCTGTTCATTTCTCTTTCCTGTAGTCATCTCTCTATTGTGCTCTCTCCTATGTAAGCGTGCGTTTTCTTTGACGTAGTGATGTTTTGGAGATATGGAGTAGTCAATAAACACCATGATTGAGAATGGTAGTAAGCTGCTCATAAAGTTTGTCGTGACACTTACCTTCATGATTAAAAGAATCATCCAGACAGAGGAAAATGAGTGCTCAAATTAATTATATTTCATTTATTCATCTACCCTTTATTTCTGTTTGTCGTATTCCATTTTTGTTGTATAATATCAATCGTGGGTATAGATAAATAGAAGACCTATAAACGAGCAAGAGATATGTTCAATTTTTCATGGGAATGTGCACTTATTCAAATATAACTATTCCCTTGTATTTCTTTAATTTATTCCTTATGCCAGACTTAGCTAGCGGCTGATTGTTTCAGAAATATCATTGTTTTTCTACATTACACTTGATCAGTGGTAGGCTGGGAACGCTAGAAACTCACTGGACTTCATTGGCAAGTCAATCGAGTTTTCTTTCATTCTCTCAAATTCAAGTAGTTTGCCACACAAGTCTAGCGAGTTGCTAGTGTTTCCAGCTCACCAGTACATTTGATAAATATCCGATCACCTTAGAGAAGTTAAAGCTCAATAACAATGATTATGTATTACAAAACCAAAAAAGTATTTAAGACGTTGTTAATAATAGCTTTGTTTTCAAATGTTTTTCGTCTCTTATTATCATCGAAAAAGTTGTGTTGTCATTAAAAAGTATTACTCATCTAGCAGCAAAATATATGCATTAATAGTTTCATCTATTTGATATATTGATTAGACTTGAATCAAAACATTGACAAGCGAACTATTCAAATGAAATATTATTCGAGCAACCTTTATTATGGTTGACATAGGAATATCACTTCCTATTAGACAGTCTTTATCAATTGTGTTTTTGCCCGCAATGTGATTATTAACACAATTGCTTGTTTGTTATTCATACTACAATTTTGTTTACTTTCAAAAAAATATATCAAAAGTAGTCAATCTATACAAAACTCGATGATTGTTATTAATACTTTGTCGTGTCTTATAAATATTTATCCATCAAAATATAAAGTTATAAATGTTCGTCAGTTGTTTGTCTTTTTAGAACTGATCAATGCTTATAATTAGTACCTTAATTCATGCTCCAGCAATTTTGATACGTATTGATTTCAATACTGCTTCATTAGCTGCTGTAATTTCAACGATTGCTGCAGTCATTGCAGTAGGTGTTGCTGTTACAAAAGTTGTGATTACTGGCCAGAGATGTTGTGATCCCTTTCATGAACAAACAGTAGTCCTTCAATCACTATCATCTTTTGTTTTTGATCGACCAATTCAATCATATGAATATGATTATTATTATAATGCGACGACAACATTGTACATACTTGCAGAAGAAATAAACGAGCACTTACAAAAAAAGCTTGGCAATATTTTTATTAAGTTTGTTGCATCAGATTTTTCTTAAAAACCTGTACTAAATCGTAATAAGACAAGAGAACGCCGATATGACAATTCCGATAAAAAGCGGGATAAGCACATAACCATGACTACGTCTACAAAACAACGATACCATCGGTCATCTAAACAGTCGTCAACGCATAAACCTTCATCAGATATCTTACAATCCTCAACAACATCGACAGGTATATTCCGATTAAAATCTTCAATAGAAATGTGAAAAGCACTGATAAATTATCAACGAAACTAACATTTTCTTATAAATCATTATCCAGCATCATTATTAAACTTTTATCTATATTTTCCTCTTCTACGTCGACTCTTTCACATATCTTTCAGCTAAGTACCATACCGTCTTTGCTTCTTCGAGGCAAAAGGGAAACCAACAAATTCACTTCGATATCGAATGGCACTAGTCAGCTATCACATACTTACATAAATGGTACTATCTATTTAAATACTACAAGCGTCGAAAATATTTCTACGGCAAATATTACTAGTGCATTAAAAACATTCACACCAACGATTATTTTAAGCAATAAATGTGGACAAGCGAGTCCTGGTGATAGCGTCTTCAATACGACATAATCACAAATACAACCATTATCAACGGTAACGGTGAACATCACCGTTCTAAATAAAGACAATACCATCGTTCCATTGCTATTAAACGAATTAGTTTCAGTTAATTCAAACACCGTGCCATCAGAAGTCGTCACGAGAACATCATTGAAGCCATCGACATCAACAACACAAGCAACACTGACGATATCAGCAATAGCACCAATAACAGAATCAGAATTCACGACATAATCATTGATGGCGTCAAGAATAGGGTCAATAACTGAATCAATAACAGAATCAATATCGACGACATCGACAACAGAATCAACATCGTCGACATCAATAACAGAATCAACGTCTACGACATCAGCAACAGAATCAACTCTCACGATATCAGCAACAGAGACAACATTGTCAACATGAACAACAGAATCAACTTCGACAACATCAGCAACAGCATCAACTCCGACGACACCAATATTGACGACATTAGCAACAAAATCAACAACAGAATCAACTTCAACAACATCCTACCAGACTTCTACATCTTTTATCGTATAGTAATATTGTGAAACAATAGTTTTCACTTGTATCTACAACATTTGGTCATTTTTATATTTGATTGTTTCAGAACATATTAAATTCCATTGAAGCGTTATTAAAGAGGAAAATTGCGATGGCTTTTCTGGCGTGAGAACTGAGAGGACAGCGACTCTCTACAGATCTGTTTGAACACCTCGAAGTATTAAATTGCTTCTTCAGAAAACAAAGGGTGGACAAAACAGTGAAATAGGAGGAGAGCAGATATTATGACTTTTCAGCATAGATTAAATTTGATTAAATCGAAAAGGTTACAATGAAGGTGGGTCCCTGATCACATTTTTCAAACATGACTCAAGAAAAAAACGACATTGATGATTTACGTGTATGACGTCCTGCACGACTTTTGTGAAAAAAATCTCTTTTTGAAGCAGTTAAAAACGAGACGAAATTGTAAATTCGGAGGTGCTAATGAACAATACTACAGTTGGAGCTCAGAAAAGTATTTCTAAAATAGTCATAACTATTCTATCGAACACAAGAACTCTTGTTGAGCTCCTCAAAGGATAAGTACCAATTGAAATTTAGTAGTCAATATGATTTGCCAAACGAAAATGCTATATCTTTAAGCATGTAGAAATTCTCAACCGAAAAAAGTTGGAGTTTGAAAAAAAACTGTCGTTCTGAGCAGAAGACAAACTTTTATGGCATGCTGAGTTTTGTTTACCTCCAGAAATTTTGATATAGTCAGGCTTGTTCGAATGTTAAATTTCGACTGTAAACGTAATTTCTCAAGTTCTATTGAATGAAACTTTGAAAAATAAAGAGAAAGTTGTGCTAAAAGCAGATTTCTGCATTTCTGGCGCGTAAAAACGCAAAAATCCGGTTGCGATTTAAGTTCATAGAAAGTCTTTTTGGAATCAGTGATTTATTGATAGTATATCAAATAATTAATAAAGTGTGTTTGAAAATCTTTGTTTTTGTTTTTCTTTGAAATTGTTGATATATACTATTTTATTGAAAAATTAATTTCTTCAAAAGATGCAACAAAAAGAGAAAGACTGTGAAGATTGTGGATGTAGTTATTGATAATCTCTTTCCTCATATCCCACATTCTAAAAAGACTTTTGTGTATGAAAAGATATTGATTTTCTCTCTAGATCTGTTTTACTAGATTTCAATGTGTACTTATCTTATCAGGAGCCTAACATGGAACTCGGGAGTCATCAGAATGTTTAAGACAATTTCAATAAATTAAAAACAAGTTTTATGAGCTCTAATTGTAATGTTGTTAACGACCACTATTAAATTCGCAACCAAATCTTGTTCTAATTGGAGAAAATTTTTTTTTTATGACAGACATGGAGGATGCTATGCACATGAATTGTCAACCTCGTTTATCGAAGAATTGTGCTGAGACACGTAATGAGATACCGACGCGGGTGTGGGTGTAGGTATCGATGTAATTCATCTCTTCACCCACACCCACATCGACACCCACACCCACATCGACACCCACACACATATACCCACACCCACACCCTTATACATCAAACAAAATGCAGAGAAATGATTTTGTTACTTGTTACAGTTGAGTAGTCTTGGTGACTTGAAATATTTCAACTTTGGTAAATCATAGACAATAAAATAGTTATAACTTGGCAGCAGAAAACAAGATTGCAGATGAGACATTTTGTTTTTCACATTGTGTCTAGATTTGATTATATGCACATAGACTATATTCAATTCGAAATACTGAAAGGATAATTTTATTTTTTTCTGAAGATAGAGAGACCTTCAAACGAACATTTAATAATCATGATTCTGACAAATTTCAAATTGAAAATTTGATCAATAGAACAAATCGAACAACCTTTTAAATTGATTATTTTATTAAGATTAAGAATTATTCGTTCAAACTATGTAATTTAAATATGCAATAATTATTATTTTTTTAAAAGAATAGAATATCTATGAACATAAGCAGAAAAAACAAAACAAAGTAATACGCTTGTTTAAAGGAATGTTTTTTTTTTTCATTTACTCGATATATGTTTATTTCGTTTATTTAATACTTCTTTGTTGATTGCCACTTTCATCTCTGTATTCAATTCTATCTGGATGGCCTTGATTTGTGAATGAAGTTTCATGAGAATCAGTTACCACTGGCTTGCCTTGCTAAAAAAATGGTTAATAATGGAATATGATGAATCTAACATAAACTATGAAAAATTTACTCACATCAAAAGTTCCTTCAGCTGATGCTTCTTTGCCGGTAACTGTTGCTGGATTATCACCAATTTTGGTTGATTTTGCTGCATGTGAATGAGCTTCCCAATGGCCTTGGCTTGCTGATTTATCCGACATGATAATATTTGTAAGAGTCAACGAGTATATAAAGTAATGTTTTTCTGATCGCGTGTACAAATGAAATGAAAGGCAAGAAAGTCTGCAGTATATATACTTTATCTTTTTTCTTCCTTTCTCTTTCGTTTTATCTAACGACGGAATGACTCAGGTTAGTCCTCAATGAACTCACGCTGTATTCAACGAGCAAAACAACAGTGAATGAAAAAACGCAAAAACAAACTGCGAATGATTGGGTTTTTTTGTCTCATCTATTTACAATTGCGTCTTTGGATTTCCTTGACTATAAGAATAGTCTTAGAAATAAGAGACCTTGACAAAACACAAATTGTTATTAACTTTCACTAAACTTATGATTGCTTATTCTGTTTTTTTTTGAAGGTAAAGGCTATAGCAACAATTAGAATACTAAATATATATTTTTGGAATTATACCATAAATTAGAAATTTATCCGTATCATATATTTTGGAAATCTAGAAATATATAGCATGGGTTGGTTTTTGATTTCTTATCTTTTTTTTTATAGGATCTTAATATATGTTATTAGTAAATCTCATATTTTTACTCAATCGCTATGAGACAAATTCAATCAAGTTGTTATGCTGATCTTATCGTTGTTTTCACATTGAGTGGTATCTAAGAAAGTGTTTGTTTCTGTTTATACACACAAGTTAAAATTAGTAGCAATTTGATGTTTGTCACTTTATGAGAAATAGCGACGATTGATGTAAATAAAGTTAAGGACATATTATTAATTGATACAAATGCTGCCTGCAATAAATAAAAATTTATTTTAAGAAACAAAATTATAATCTTTATTGAATCGTCATTAGAAAATGTTTCTAATAATCCTATCAAAATTAATATTTTTTGTTTTTCGCTACGTACTTATCTTCACCAGAAAATTTAATGCCAAATTAAGCAGGTTGATTTATTAAAAATTTCATTTACGTTTAATGAAAAGTGTGTGAATGTGTGTATTGGTTTTTTTCATCCACGCTCACATCGACATCCAGCTATAGCTATATCTACATCTCTAAAGGTTCTATTTATTCATTGTATTTTATATTTAAGCATTTCTTGTGTTAAACAAATATATATATACGGAGTAAGATATGAATAGCACTACGATAAAAAATTAAAATAGCGCTGTTTTGGTTTATTTGAATGGACTGTTTTTTTTCCGTAGCGATATAAGCTTACTTACAGCTTTTTTATATGGATAACGTAAATAAATACGACTGTCCAATTCTATTTTTGGCCTCACTAAAAAAAGTCATCTATTGTCGAGTAAGAAACATGAATATAGAACGTTTCATTGATAATTTTCATTTGTTATCTAACAGAATAACAAAAAATCAAAATAAACTTTATAAGTGATACTACATTAAGGCATGTAAAGTAAATTTTCAGAACTAGTTAATTTAATAGTCAACAGTTAGAAAATTTTGAATTTTCAAACATGAAACACTGGTTCTTGTAAGAAACTTGGCGCCTAAAGTACTACACTGGTGCGCGAATTTCAACACTGAAATTGACTATTTTTGAATACTTGCTGTATGTGCATCAATATAATATCGTTTATGAAGATTGTTTTGATTTCCTATTTTTCTGAACTATATAGTGATTCTACATTTTTGTTTTTGAATTTAGAGAGTAATTGATCCTACTAACGGTGTGCAGCTAGTAATTTAATTCGTTTCACTTATTTCATAGTCATACTGTATTCGAATAAATGTCTGCATAGTTCTTCAGATATTCTCTTTGAAGTGATAACATTCAAAACAAACTCTTCTAGCAAGCCGCAACTGAGATAGTAGTAGTTGACGATGACTAAATCAGTGCGTCGTTATTAGATTCATTCATTCTACTTTGGTATATTAAATGAAATCTGATCCGTAATTCTAATAAAAATATAATTTTTAATTTTTAACAAGCATAACCTTGTATTTGGAGTGATTGACATAACTGCACAATTACTGAACAGTATTTCGATCATAAAATAACTGTACTCTATCATCACAAATATATGTCTCACATAATAGTTTTAAAAATGATGAACTCTCAGTTTAAAAACACTTAAAAATCTTTCGCATTGGTTTTTCTGTTCTCAACATATTTTACCCATAGTCATCGGCAATATATTTCTAACATTACGTGAAAATATGCCCACTGACACCGTTTATGGTTGTGAAACAGAATTGAATTATGATTGACTTGCATGCCAAATATTATCTGACAGCAATATATTTTTTCCTTTAAGAACATTGATTAAAAACTACTTCAGTTAATAAATATTAATCAATTAGACCAGTAAAGATAAAAAATTAGAGGTCATGTTATTTGAATGAGCAATATACATAGAGTAGTGGTGTCTCATGTGCGACTTGCGTCTCCCACCTACTCTGCACCTCTAAGATATCGAAAAGTCATCCAGTTTGGACCTCCATTCATTTATAGTTTACAATCCAATATAAGTAATAAAAATTTATAGAAGTTGTGAAATAACATGTGTTACAATGATGGAATTTTTACTATTTCATTGATGTGATTATGTTGATTTTTTTTTGTTACTCATGTGGAAGACATGAGCCACAGAAAAGAAGAAATATTTTTTCATGAAAGTCGACTCCATGTACTATTATTTCATAAGAAAATTTCTTGTTTGATCAACAGTTATATTTCTCAGAAATCAAACAGTTTATCAAATTTTTTTATACATACATGTCTTGACGCAGTTAATCAAATCTTCATTGATTAATTTAACAAGATCTATTTCTGAAATAATCACATATTCAGCTCTAGTGACCTTTGGATTTAAATTTTTACCGATTCAGACACTATGTACAACTTACTACTTGGTAGACACCTAAATTCAATTATCAATTGTCACAACAGTTATGTAATAATTCAACATTTGTTTTCAGGATTGAATTTAATGTAGAACACAAGCACGGAAAAAGATCATAAAATCCTTTTTCTGATGCTCTCTATTACAAAGACGTACTAATGTGTTTTCTTCTAACTTAAGAGAATAGGGTGTGGATGGCATGTATGGTGTAGGTGTTTTTGTGAATCTTAGGTCAACTCACACCCACACCTAGCAGTAGCTAGAACAAAAACCGAACTATATCAACAGTTTTCAATTTGGAAATGAGCTATACGAACAGTTCTCTTCATAAAGCTTAACTTTTGAATAGTTTTCTGTGAAAAGAAAAAAAAGTGACAGCAAAACATTATTTGATGGGCATTGTGCATGATGGCAAGCACAGGTATGTCTGCATGATCTTGTCTCTATTCAGTTTTATTGTCGTGTGGACGAAACTTAATCAGTGTTCTTTACTGAACTTGTCCTTCGAACAACATCATTAGACACTTGTCAGCGGTCTACAAATTTATTAGCTTTAGTTCTGATATGTTCAGTTTTCTGTCAGACATTTGTCAGTGCTTGCAACAAGTTCTCTCCCAAACAACTGCAAATCAAGACGAAAAATCCTCAATAATAGCTGCGTATACAAATATTCTTCGCTCTTTTCAGTACTCGATTTTAATTGATGATCTCAGTTACACTTGATTGTGACAAGAAGAATGTTTGACTAATTTTCGTCGTATACCTTCAGTTCTGTTAGACTTTACGATACAAGAAACTTGAATAGATATATTAGTTAGTTTTTTTATTTAATAGAAGGAATATTTATTTTTGATTTGAACAGTTTCCAAATGAAAATGATTTGTCAACCATTTTTTTATTTCGAAGTAAGCATAAAAATCGATATCCAATAGTAGCTGCAGCTAGACTTGTTATATTTGATTGATCGTATGGAGGAGATACTTCAACAATATCCATTCCGACGTAGTTGATTGAACCCAAACGACGAAGAATAGATATCGATTGTGCCATGGTTAAACCTCCACAGACTGGAGTACCAGTGCCAGGAGCGAATGCAGGGTCGAGGCAATCGATATCGAATGTTAAATAAGTTGGTCGATTTCCGACTCGATTTAGAATTTCTTCCACTACATCATTGACTGAGTGTTGATGTACCCATTCAGCATCAATGATTTTTACACCCATAAAATCATCATTAAATGTTCGAATTCCAATTTGTATAGATGTTTGAGGATCAATTAGACCTTCACGAACAGCATAGTAGAACATAGAACCATGATTCATACTGTTTGGATATTTATCCGGCCATGTGTCACAATGTGCATCGAATTGAATGAGAGATAATGGTTTGCCATGACGTGCAACATGTGCTTTTAATAATGGATACGTCGAATAGTGATCCCCACCTATAAATACAGACTAGTTATAATAGAAATTTTTCGTTCAACAAAGATTTACCAAGGGAAAGAAGAAAAACATTCTGATCAATAATTTTTCTTGCATGAGTTTCGATAGCAATCGGTATTGTATGAGGTTGACCTAGATCGAACCAACAATCACCATAATCAACAACGGCTAGGTCAGCAAAAATATCTATTCCCTCGGGATAGGATTTCCTTCTTGCTACTTGTGCAGATGCTTCTCGAATACCTTGCGGTCCAAATCGAGCACCTGGTCGATAAGTAGTTGCTAAATCGAGAGGGATACCAGTCACAGCAACATCGACGTTAGTTAAATCACGCGTATAATTCCGTCGAAGAAAAGATAGGGCACCAGCATAAGTTTGTTCGATCGTAGAACCAAATGGACTTTTTCGTTGAATAGCGCCATCACCGCGCAATTCTGACTCTCCTCCAGGAATCGATGATTCCCATTTAGTTGAACTAAATGTTCGATAAGTGCGCAATGCGTTAGATAAGCCACGTCGACATATGACATTCAACATGGTTAACAACAAAAAAAAATAACGAGAAGCTACAGTAGAAAAGAAACAACCTAAATCTTTTCGTCTTTATCAATGTTTGATACTGATAGCAATAACATTTTGGTATCAAATACAACCAAGACAAGACAAAGTTCTCTATTCATGACATAAAAAAGAAATATTGATTGAGAGAAGTTTTCAGAAGACAGCAATGGAATGACTAGAGAATAGCGATAGTTGTATCGAACAAAATTCGTTCAAAATGCTTTGTTCTACATCAAGAAAAAAAAATAGATAAAAAAGTTAATTTGTTAATCAAAATAGCATTTATATTTTGCACTAAGAAGCAAAAAAAACAGGACTTCCTAATGAAAGGGTGTTGAGTTTTTTCGCGTTTTATTGAGAGATAGAAAAATTGTTTAGGGTCAAAGAATTTACTTTTTATCCATTGCTTCTTATTTTTATCTTTTACTTTGTAATCTTTAAACAACGTATTTTAATGTTTTGATGAAATATCTTTTCATTTGCTGTCAAAAGTGTGTGAGGACACTCACACTATTATTATTATTATTATGAATAAAGCGTTCCAATAATAAGTTTGACTCTTTCTTCATCTCGTGGGATAATTTTACCTTCTGTCTCCTTTCCATAGCGTCAAAGACACAGGAGTATCATGTATATTTCTTTTATTTTTCAATGCAGATCAAAACCAAACAATGCTCCACGAGATGAGAAATTCAGGAAACTTTAGTTTGAGACTGAAGATCGATGTTTCTTAATTTTTAGGATCTTAGGCATCCTTTCCAACCGAGATTATGAGGTGTTAAATGAGCATATTCATCCCGAGACAGGCAAGATAAATAATACTCTATGACTTCTCATATTCTTTATTATTGTCTTTCAATACCAGTGACAATCTGCTGGAATTAATATTCGTTCTAAGTCGTCCTCGAGTAAGAATCTATATTGTAGCTCTTCTGTGAATCTTCAATCCCGTCACTCTATGCGCAGCTTCTCAATGATAACACACTCAGAAACATAAAAGAAGTGTTCTGTGAGAAAAATTTATATAATACATGAGAAAATCAAGAGTTTATTTTTTCTGGAAGTGAAACGAATCAGAATTTTTTCATTCATTTCGCTTTCTGGTTTTAAACATTTAAAATATCTCAAAAAAAATAGAAACGCTTCTATTTCACCCACACAATCAATCCTGCACTTTGCACTGATAGACTCAACTGTCTTTGCTCTTGAATTCGAATACTTTTCATGTGAAAATGACCGATTGCTGATCATAATGATAACATCCTTATCCGAGTTGTATAAAAAAATAAATATTCCACTATTGTATTATTGATGCCAAACGATTCTCTGTATTATATTTATATAGCTAGATATCAATGAAATTAAGAAACCTAAATATACAAAGTCTTGTGTAAAACCATACTTTGTAGTTTATTTTATCATCATATTGGCACTGGTGTTCTGATATGAATCATAAAGCGTTCACTTAGGTTAAGTAATAATTTTAAATAAGAGTAGATAAATCGTATCAATTCTTGTAAAGGACCAATATATTAAATAGAGAAACCCAAACGCAAAAAAACCATAGATGTTGATCAGCATCAGTTGTTATGAATTAAGGTATGAGAATACCCACGCCCACATAACTAGTTGATTACTTGACGTATTAAACGAACCGTTTTCGTTACTCAATCAAGTGCAGTATTTCAAACTATCAGTCCGCTCAAACACAAAACACTCCTACCGGTTCCAAGTGTGGTACTGGCAGTGAGAGAAGTATTAAATAATTTCTACAAAACTCTATCGAAACTTTTATATTGAGTATATTTCTCTTTCTGTTGAAACTCTAGTACAGATAAAATTTACAATATTTTTGTTTGAAATAAACTTTTGAAATTTAAAATAAATGCAAGTTAAGCTTAAATTCGTCATGTTTTCTTTAGGAATTCAACAAAATTTTTAATTTTTCTTCGAATATTACAAACATATAGCAACTTCTACAAGGATAGACTCTGTGTTCAAATAAAAATTTCACGACTGAATATGTAGTTCGTTAGCTATTCTTCTTTCACGACTGAAAAATGAAAACTGCAAGATTTGATATCGATCAGGTTCCACTGAACGGCCAACAGCACGTCACAAAAAAGCTTGTTGGTTAAATCATTACGACAGACGTCGTTGTCGTACGAAAATATCTATTTTCGAGAGAATCTATTGGTTGTTGTCCGTATTGTACGTGTCGTCGCATCGTGTTCGTAGTTTAGTGTTGCTCTCCAGTCAATTTAATTAGAAATTAATACTGGATTAGCTTTTGTAGCAACAGCAAAACCTAAAAAAATCAAAACAACGTACATAAAATCAAAAAGAAATATCTTATAATTTACTACAGTATTATTTCTAGTTTCTTATTTTTCGAGTATTTTCTATTAAAGTATATAAGTTTTGTTTAGTTTGTAATTAATATATCTAGTTTTATTATTTGCTCATCGTTTGTGTCTCGTGTATCATGACATCTACAAGTGAACTTTTTGATGTTCTTATTGTTGGATGTGGTTCTGCTGGAATAGCAGCTGCAATCGAATTGCAAAAAATTTCACAAGTAAAATTTATTCTACTCGAAGCTCGTAATCGTGTTGGTGGTCGTATTGTTACTGATACAACTACATTTGGTACAAATACACCTATTGATTTAGGTGCACAATGGCTACATCATTTTCGACCTGAAAATCCTTTATATAGATATCATGAAATATCAAAAGATATTCATATTAGTAATCATTTTGTTTTACGTTCATCAGCAACACCATTTTTTGATATTGATGGTACAAGAATATCTTCTGATAAAGTTCATAAAGCGGAAGAAATTTTTAATCGATTATGTAATATTGTTACAGAATCATCACTTTCATCAGATAAATCAATGTTTGATGTTATTAAAAGTGAATATATTAATTATGTTAATGATTCTCAAATAAAAAGATTAATTGATTTATTTCTTGGCATTATTGAACAATATGAAGCATCCAATCTTGATCAATTATCAGCTAAATCTTATTTATTATCGGACAGTGGTATTGATGAATGTAATGTATCTATGCCAGATGGTTTTGGTACATTTATTGAAAACCTTGTCCAACAACATAAATTACCTGTTGAACTTAATACTATAGTTACTCGTATAGATACTTCATCATCAGATTCAATTGTTCAAATATATACAAAAGATGAAAGATTATTTCTATGCAAATACGTTCTTATTACAATTCCGCTTGGATGTTTAAAAGCTCATACGATTGAATTTATACCAAGTTTACCTGAATGGAAACAAAATGCAATCGAAATAATGGGTGTAGGTTTCTCAAATAAAATCTTTTTACAATTTCCATTTGTTTTTTGGGATCCAACATGGTCGTCAATATTTTGTACATCACCACAATATCGTTTTATTCTATGTCGACCTAATGATTGTATGCTTCAAATTAAACTTGCTGCTCGAATAGCATTAGAATTTGAAGAAAGAAATGATAAAGAAATAATTGATGAAGTTATGATATTGCTAAGAACTATATTTTCAGACAGAGATGTACCTGAACCAACTCGATTTCTTATTACTAAATGGAATCAAGATGAATTTTCAAAAGGTGCTTATTCTAATTTCGCTGTTGATGCAGATAAACAAACTTTAATTGATCTTGCTCGAGAATGTAATGATCGAATATATTGGGCAGGTGAACATGCAAATTGTGACGGAACAATTGGTTGTGTGGATAGTGCTTTTGAAAGTGGAGAACATGCAGTCAAAAAAATAATACAAAAAATAAAGCAATAGATATTACATTTGATTTGATAAAAAATTTGAGTGTGGTATATTATTTATTAATTATAATTGTAATACACTAGTTGAATAGTTAAAATGAAAAATAAATTATTTGATATTAGTTTTTATAAAGAAACCTTTTCTTCGAAATTTGAATTATTTATTGTCAAATGATAAAAAGAAGAAAAAAGAGACACTAACCAAAAAAAAAAGGTTTCTTTGCAATAGGAAGTCTTATAAAAGCTAACATACAATACAAAAGTAACGGCACAAAATGTCAATTCTTATTTCTCTTCGATAGATTGATTCTAAAACAAGTACTTTTTTTATTAGTTGATAGAAAACTTTTTGCTCGTCTTATTTCATATACGAATGTGAGACAAATATAAATTCAACAATGTTTGAAAGAGGAGAAAAAACCCTATCTTATGGCAAAAAGTTTTTCTTTCGACACCTTTCTATCTATGAGAAACGAAAATTTGTACGTTGTGCCATTACTTTTGCACCATATTTTAATATCGAATTTTTATTTTGTTATCACTTAAATAGTTAATACTAAAATTACCTGCGATTAATTGTAAAATGAGCACTTAATTAAATATAAATAGTAGTAAAAATTTTCAAAATTTTTCAGCAGAAAAATAAATTTAAATAAATCAAAGTATCACAGAATAAATAAAAAGAAATTTACAAAATAATGGAAAAACGAAAGAAAAAGAAAATTGCACTATTGTATTAGTAAAGCATATTTAGCTTTTGCTAGTCGATCTCTTTTTCTTTTCTCACCAATCGGCACTGTCTTTGCTGCTGATAGTGATATAAAGTATTTCAAATGAATAATATGTCTACAACGTGTTTGCATGTATACTTCTTATAGACAATAATTAATTGACCGTTGTCCATTTTTTATTGTCGTATGTTTATTTAAATCCTTTTCTGTAATAGATTGTAAGTTACGAGCCGATATATAGTAGTTTTCGACAAGTCATTTGAAAGGTGAATTATGTCTTTGATAAAAAAGGCGTTCTCGCAATGTTTTATCATCTTTGATTGTTTTATTGATTGTCTCTAAGGCGTTGTTTGTACTTAGTCCATACAGTTGTATGCCTTCGTATCAACCATCATTTGATTTGAACCATTCATTATCAAATATATCTCTTTTTAACCTTTTCAGTCCTGAATTTTTTCTATTGAACCAAAATTTGATAAAACTTGGTATAAAGTAATTAGGTGAAATTAGGAAACATATGGTTAAATTACAATTAAAGAAAATACGTAATCACATGAGGATTAAAACATTTTTCTCATTGCTGTATCTTAATAAAAAATTGCTGTTATAATTACTGAAACATTGATTTGTTTCATTACTAATATACGTAGTTTTTATGATACAACAAAAAATACTCTTTTACACGAAGACTAACACAGAGAAAATTATAATACTATTGTCGATAAGTTGAAATAAGTTCTGCTATATGAACTAAAAGTTGTGATTTTTCAGAACTTTCTATGTTACTTATGTTTCTTTCAATACTTTCCTTCTTCTGATTACTTATCGCCAAAGATCTTCTTATCCTTTTTCTACTACAATAATTATCTACGAGTGCAATACTAATAAACGACAATATTCTACATATTCTCGAGTATCAAATTGGTTAGGGCGATGGCCTCGATATGAATAACCTTAGCTGACTCGATATTCGGACATACACATAGACATTGCGTATTATATGTACAGAAGATAACTCTATTGCTGAGGATTGAAGTAGATTAAACAAATGAATTTCGTCTTTTGCAAAGTACTGAACTTGCATAGTGTCTCAGATATATCTCATGGATATAGATTTTGAAGAAAAGGAAAATAAACGAAAAATTTTGAAAATTCAAATTATGTGCTCAAAACCTATTTTTGGACTCAGGGGACTTGGCATGGTGCACTTTTCAATGTCCTTTATATATCCAATCATCCATGCAATCTTGTACAGACCTCTGCTGGCTTCTAACATCTATTGAAAATATCACTCTTAGATTCCTAAAAACTCGAGGATTAGAAAATTCTCAAGGTGGTACATATGTGCACTATCGGGTCTTAAAGGGTTAAGCCAACATTTTGATTCTTTTTTTTCATGCAGATCAAAAGAAGTAAGTCAGAAGAACTAAAAACATATGTGGAGCAGCTGAAGCAGAAGGAAAAGAAAAATAAAAATGATCCACTTTATGACTATATCAATTTTTATACTGATCCTTCAATATAGTCGACTGTTAATAAATGGTAATTAGTGACTTTTAAATATATTTGTAAACCTAATTAATTAATAACTGACCGTTTAGGTAATTTACTGATCATTTCATTTATTTCACTGATTATAAATCATATTCTTGCTCTTTTCGCTTCAAATGCAAATGTTCACTTCCAATATACAAATACCGTTCATTGTAGCTCGATACATTTGGTTTGTAGACTGACGAAATAGAGATATAGAAAGAGACTGTGGATATCTGTGTGATTGAAGAGGAAACTAACACTCTAGTTAATTGAACTTACTGTAACAATAAAATACGCCGACTATCGTTAATAATCTAACAGATAAGAAATTTGCTTAGAATACGATGAAAAATCTTGAAAAAAAATCAATTTTAATATATTACCAAGAAAATACTCACATTAATGAAAATTCATTTATTTATAAGCTAACAATGGAACATTCTTATGTAATAAAGAACTTTTGAGTTCAAATTTTCTTTGAAACTAGGAGATGTATACACTAGCAAAAATAAAATTGGATGTGGATGCGAAACCGTAATTTGATAAATATATCGAAATTTTATTGTAAATTTTCTACGTTATCTGAATTTCTTTACAAAATTAAACTTTCAAATTTTTCTCTGAAGCATTGCCTACGTCAAAGCTTCAATCAGATAGTCTAACCAGCAAATTTAGAAAATCATTAGATGAATTAATCATCACAAGGACTTTAATAGATAGGAATAAAAACGCACTATAATAAGTATGGTGTAATGTACGAATATTTTTAAAACTTTATATCCACAAGATAATTGATTGAAAAATTCTGAAATTTTGAAAGTAAGGCAATCTGATTAAGGCTTTCATATAAGAGAAGTTTCAAATGAAAAGTAGCAAATTGTAAAGAGAAAGTGAGTTGCTCTGCAGTAGAAAAAAATATAATGAAACGTCGATATGTTAGTCAGAGCGCTGCTTGCACAAACAATCTATTAAGCTTTTTTAAATGTAGACATATCTTGTGAATAAAACTTGATCGCAAAAACCTTTTGATGACCTGTTAAAGTTCCTTCGTTGAATCTAGATGCTCTTACTGTTTTTGAGGTAACCAAATATAATACATGGATATAATTAGACAACGAAAGTTATTGTTTATGTTCATAGATGAATCATATTAGCAGTTTTGATACATATTCATTTTAATAAATATTAATTTTAAGAAAATTTCATATATTTATATTCAAATATGCATTACCATAATGATGAAAAACTTTGACCAATATATATAAGACGTTCTTCATCATTAAAATTCATGACTTATACTTTCTTTTTCTTTAACTAATTTTAGCAGTAATAAATATCTCTCCCACTTAGACTTTTCATTATTCAAATATTTTTGACATTTATGTTTGGCGTCTTTGATTTATTTGTACAAATAAAGTTGCGACCTATCTAATTTTCATATTTAAAAAAAATCGAACGAATGAACATATACACTAAATTAGAAAAAATAATAGAGTATTTCTTTTTCTCTTGCAACTTCAAGTATAGTTATTATAATAAATAAACTACAAAAAAAGCATACACAATACTTTATTCAGAATATATTCTTCCGAAAAGAATCAAGAACAAGAGGAATAAATACATTATTGAATGAATAGAATAAAGATCGAAAGAAATTCTTGAAAAGAACTATTCATACATTCATGCTAATTTTATGCAATATTTTAATATTCGCTCTTCAACAGTGTACAAACAATGAGCTACAAACAAAAGAAGAGAATATTATCTATTTACTGGAAAGAAAAACAAATTTCGTTCTATGCATTGCGTTCGAATATTAATTTCATATGCTATCAATAGTTTTTCTTTCAGTTTATTTCAATCTAAATGACTCGTATTTTGCTATTTATTGAATTTTTTACTTTAATTTTTACTGTTATTAATGGGACACACTTTCATGGTGGTACTATTACTTGGCATCCCCTAAATTCATCAGATACAGGATCACCTGTCGCCATTGTTATTACCCAAACATATTTGTGGACATGGTCAGTTGCTCTATGTACGAGTAGTAATATTGCTAGTAGTGCTAGCATAAGTTTCACTCATTATTATCCAAGTACCTCTAGTCATCTAGATTGTGCTCTTAATTGTGCAACAGCTACTGGATATGTTGCTCCACCAATCTTGCCTGATTGTACTGATGCTTCTTCAGCACAAGATACTACTGCTGGTCAACGTTCGGATATTGTCTATGTTCCAAGAAATGCTGATTTTACTGTTGCATTTGCTAGTTCAGCTTGGCGTTCATTAGCTACTAATTCTGCAGCTGATTGGTCCATTGCATCACGCATTGAATTGACACCCAGATCTGATAATGGTCTGTATAATAATGCACCTATAGCAACAGTCATGTCTCCTATATATATTCCTCAACATCAACCAACAGCTATTCATATACCTATAGGTGATGCAGATGGAGATATAATGCGGTGTCGATGGTCAAGTGGTACAACTGAATGTGGACATGTTTGTCCACCAGGATCTTTACCAAGTGGTACATTAATCTTTTCGAATTGTACAATTATTATTACTGGTACTAATATAGGAGATTGGTTTGCTGTTACAGTCATGGTTTGTAAAGATATCTGAAATTTTCTATTAATCTTTCTTTTATTGATAGGTTGAAGATTTTATTAGTTCATCAAGTACAACACCACTTAGTTCAGTACCTGTTCAATTTCTTGTTCATGTTGTTGCACCATCATCATGCTCCACACCACCAGAAGTTTATGAACTTTCTAATAAGTCTTGTATACCAATTACTGTCGGTCACACGTTTACATCACATTTAATTGCGATTAACAATTGTGGTTCTTCTGTTAGTATTATTGATATTTCAACATTGTCCTTTGCTGGAATGGTTCAAAGTAGTATTATTCAACAAGATTCAATGACTTATTATAAAACTCTTTCATGGATACCAACGACAAGTCAACTTGGATATCAAGTTATGTGTGCCATGGCTCTTGATAGGTAAATAACTCAAAATAAATGAATGCAAAACTTAAAAGATGTTGTATAACTTTGATTAGTCAAAATTCACAATCTGCACAATATTGTTTTAAGTTTTATGTATCACAAAGTGGTGTTAGTAATTGTCCTGGTGATCCTATTGTTACATCAACAACTACGTAAGTCTGGTAATCTTATTTTATTGTATAATATTCATTTTTTTTTCTAAAGAACAACCACAACTACAACAACGACGAGCTCATCCACGTTAGTATTTACATCTATCATTATATTTTATTTTTGTTTCTGTTTTCGGATTTTGTAGAACAACATCAAGTACAATAAGGTAAAATGAGATTTCGATTTTCCATCAGCTTAGAAGAAAATGCTTATTATTGCAGTACAACATCAACATCAACTTCTACAACATCAAGGTTAGTGTTCAAATATTAAAAGAAACAAAATTTGAATCGTTCTTCTTACTATAGTTCGACCAGTAGTACAACTTCAACAGCGTGAGTCGTTGAATATTTTATTCTAATTTAGAAGAAAAACAATCAATTCTATAGGACAACAACGTCAACTACAACATATACCACATCCACGTACGTCTTGCTACTTGAAATAAAAA